CCACCAAACCATTGGAATCTGGGTGATATGCAGTAGTGCGGATGCGTTTGCATCCCAACAGATTCACCAGCTTCTGGAAGGTAACGGATTCGAACTGTTGGCCCCTTTCGGTTGTCACGGTGGAACGGCATTTAAACTGTGAAACCTATCCTTCGATGAAAATTGGACTTACTATTTCGACAGTAATGTCAGACAATGGGATGGCTTCCGGCCAGCGAGTGAACTTATTGACACATGTCAGTAGGTAGCAATATCAATCGGAGGGTGGAAGTGGGCTGACAATGACTAAATGGACGTGGTCGAATCATGAATCCGGTTTGGCGAAAGTTTTAAGTGGTGGGATGTTGTGACGATTCACCTTGGGACGTTGGCACTGAATACATAACCGTGTCCAGTTTCCAACATCACGGTTAATACCAGGCCACACAAACCTAGCAGATATCAGTTTGTCAATAGCACGGATGTCAGGATGCGAAAGATTGTGCATAGGAACAACCGGTCTGGGTGTGCCTGTGGAGGTGTCGCATAATATTGTCACTTCACTGTTCAGGAGCGGTGACCGCTGTATCTTCAGAGGGGTTGATTGTTGAAGTTTTTCAATCTCCTTGTCTGAATCCTGAAGTTCAGCAATCTTCCGCAAGTCAACCGCTCGGGGTAAAGTAATGGTGCAAACGCGAGAGAGTGCGTCTGCGACAGGGTTATTCACACCAGAAATATGATGGATGTCCGACGCGAAATATAGTCTAGATGACGTAATTCACGCAGTGAATATCTGTCGGTGGTGGTGTGCAAGGCATACGTCAAGGGTTTGTGGTCGGTAAAGATAATTAAATCACGATCTTCCACAAAGTGACGAAAATGCTTAACCGAGGCATATATGGCTAGCGGTTCCCGGCCAAAAGTGCTGTGCCGTATTTCTCAGGGGGATAACTTCCGCGAGAAGAATGCAAGCGGGTTCCAAGTGTGATCCGAAAGTTGTTACAACACAGCTCCAATGTCCGTGTTAGAGGCGTCAACCCGTAATGCTAAGAGGCAGTTTTACGTCCTGATGCACCAACATCGTGGCGTCTACTATTGTGGTTTGGATCTTGCGAAATGCGTCCAGTGACTTAGGAGTCATGCTGAAACTTTTACACTTACCTTTCAGCAGGTTGGTCAGTGCAGTCAAAATGTGAGCACATTGGGGGACGAAATGACGATGATAGCTCACCATCTCCAGAAACGTACACAGAGCTTTGAGTGACACTGGGACTGGAAAGTCTTGGATAGCCTATATCTTTTCAGGTAGTTGGCGAATGCATTGCCCGTCGATAACGTGTCCCAAAAATTTCAGTGAACGAACGCCAATCTGGCATTTGGCCAGGTTGACTGTCATCGAATGCTCTGACAGTCTGGCGGGAACCTGTTTCAAGTGGTTAAAATGAGTGTCTTCGTTGGACTAGCGATTAGTATGTCGTCTAAATAGGCATAGGTGAAGTCTATTCCACGTAAAACAACGTGAATAAAACGTTGGAAGGTTTGTGCTGCGTTGCGAAGACCAAGAGGCATACGGAGGAACTCAAAAAGATCAAACGGTGTAATGACGGCTGTCTTGGGAACATCATCAGGATGAACTGGGATCTGATGATATGCACGCGCCAAGTCAAGCTTGCTGAAGATAAACGAGCCTTTTAAAGATGCAGTCAAGTCGTGTATGTGAGGGACTGTGTAACGATCTGGAGTCGTCTTAGCGTTGAGCCTTCGGTAGTCATCACAAGGCCTCCAGTCCATGCCACTGTTCTCGGGTACCACATGCAAGGGTGAAGACCATGGACTGTTGGATGGTCTGATTATTCCCATTTCAAGCATGTGTTCAAACTCGGCTTTTACAGCACGCAGTTTCTCCGGGGATAATCGCCTTGGTTTCGCAAACACTGGCGGGCCAGTCGTCGTTATGTGATGAGAAACGTTTGAAGTCACATAAGGTACACAACGACTTGGCTTAAAGACATCCGGAATGGACTGAGTAATAGACGCGTAGGGACTAGAAGCGTCCGTTGTGGAGTACACGGGACTGAGGGGCGGCGTCTTTGTGATAATACCGGAAACAGAGAGTGTTGTGGTAGAATCTATCAACTTATGCTTGCCAGCATCTACGAGCAGCTGATAGTGCTGTAAGAGATGCACACCAATAATGCTGTTGCTTTTCGAACGTACCAGTTTCATTACGACTCTGCTTCCCCTAGACTTAATGTGTGGCGCACAGACATTTCAGTTATACGGGATTGAGCTGTCGATAACGATTGGAGTGCTGATGAGAACACATCAGAATGCTTGAAATAAGCTTGGAACTACACTAGGGGAGCTATGCTATTTACTTCATGATTGACCCCATGAAGACCTTCACACTGCCCCTCAATCTGGTCAGGATATTCAAAAACTACTGAGGTGAGGGAAACGTCTGGGGAACTAGCTTTTGGAAACCCAGCTGAAAAGATTTAAAACAGTACTGTACAGTTTATTATCCATGCAAAACTTCGATTACACGATGTGAAATATCATGCGAGAAACAGCTTGTAAGTGGTTGCCATGTCTGTCTCAAAAGCATGTTCTGACTCATTAAAAGATAGACGAATAGAGAAGGTGAAGTCTCTCTGATGGCAAGTGAATAGTTAGGTGGTTTGGCGGGACATAACCTGGTCAAAACTGAGCGCTTATTGAAATATTTTAGTTAAGGTTTTTAGTAGTTTGAGATAGTAACGTGCTCAAAAATAATATCAGTACTATCCCACTAACAGATACAGTGCATATAACGAAGGAGACAGTCTTTTAGTTGCTTAACATTCCTAACCCTAAAAATGCCCCGGTATCCTGATGATTTACACTCTAGTTTGTTATCTTCTCTAGCGAACACTGTTGGTGTGTCAGTTATTGGTCTTTTCAATATGTCATTAACTCAGACTGGCCACCCTAGAGATGAGAAAGACCCCATAATCAGTTCAGTTTTTATGGTCATTAATCACCAGTTATTATCTGACTATCGCCGTGTGATTCTAACACATTCATTAGGATTTCCAACAAGGTGCTTAGCCATGATAAATCAAATGTTTTGGTGTGTGGAGCTGTGGCTAATTGGTTTAGGGGAATGACCTTCAACCAATGGGTCAGATTCGAGCCCAGCCCCTCCCAAAGAGGTTTGGGCGGCCAAGTTGGGTCACTAGCTCTCACACAACAGGTGTGGCTCATTGTCTACCTCACAAATGTACTCCAGGTTTCTGAAGGTGTTTCGATTCGAAATATTTGTTTACAACAAGAAGATATTCAGATAGGACATTCCTTTTTAACAAACCTCATCTTGAAAGAGGAATAGGTTAGAACCTGTGATAGCGAACTGCTATCAGACGCCGTGTATATATACTGCGGCAGGGCTTTTAACAAAATGTCTCATGTAAAACTGCTAGGAAAACTCTCCTCTAGAAGTAGCATCTTAGTCTAATTTGTCTCGAGCAATAAGTGGACAAGTCTATCTCCGCGATGTGACCAGATTTTAGATAGGTTTTTAAGCCTACCCCTGGCTTTCGGGAAAGGCATATGCAAACCGGTACCTGCCTTGACAACATCACTTTCCCCTTTCAGCACTGCATCCTCAATGGCATTGTGTCTATAATTTGGTTTGTCTATACAGGGATTTTTAGCAACCGTACTGGAATTTACACTTGAAAGTGAAAAAAAATCATGTAAAATACAAGACCGAAACAGCAACACTTGAAACTAATGCACTACATGAAACGTAAAAGATGAAAACAGACAAAAAACCTGGAATTTCCTAACCCCTATAATACAAACGTCTGTGAAACCAGTTTTCAACCTATATAAATGAGACTCCTCTACCGTCAGTATTGACTCACAATGACCTAGGAGTCGCAGTGAGTTATGACTTGAAGACCACGGCTCACTGTCGATTGGTAGCAGCTCGGAGTTTTAGGACTCTGGGCAATACGTAATCATGCTATTCAGGATTGTAAGAAATGACTTCGGACCTGATCTGTCTTCTTTTTTCCTTCCCACTAGGTCGGGACACCTTAGCGGACAAAGTGTAGGAGACTACAAAGAAGCAAAGAACGAACACAGTCTCCGCAGAGTACTGGTTCTCGGGTCGAGTACTTAACGCCTGGAACCGACTCCCAGAAGAAGTGGTGTCCGCATCATCAATTGACTTGTTCAAAAGGGGATCGGAAAAGCACCGAGGTCTACTGGAAAAAGATTAATATAGTCTCTCAGCTTCCTATCTTCAAACACCAAATCTGAATCTGAAATGCACTTAATTGAAGTTAACCATGATAGTTTTTAACGAGTTAAACACCATAAACGCTAAAAGAACGCAAGAAATACCATCCTTAACTTCAGAGCGTGCGCGTTGTGACTCTACTTTTATTCCCACGCATCCTGCACCTTTGGTGATAATATCTCCCTCTTTTTCGCATATTTACTGAGTGAAGTGTGCCCTTATATTCTAAATCACAGAATATTTGGCGAATACTTTTCTACTCTGTCCATTTTTCCAATAGGAATATTCCTATTTGTCCCATGTATGTCGATTGGATCGGTACTCTTCACTTATCTACTAGAAATTAAGGTAAAAGCTTTCCAGGAGGTGATCTTGTCACTACTTATGATCGGTAGAAGAAATTGCTTCCAGTTATTTACGGATTTTTTGTGTTTTAAAGGGGTACAGTGAAGTGGACTTTTTATATCACCACAACCTACTAATAGCATCAATTTACAGTTTGTCTTCCCTCCTCTTCTGTGTGTGGTTTATTTTTGTTCCCGAGATTTCTAGGCCTAGCTTAATCCATCACTGCTGTGAATGTCCAAATGTCGTCTTCTTTATGTCAGCTCACTCTTTTGCTTTGATTTTCAGAACCTCCTACCGGCTTCTGACCACAGATATAACACTTATTGTGGATGCAAGGATATATAAGACCGAATAGAAACTAGCTGTCGTTATCTAGATACCATACATGTGTATTACTTTATGTAGTTTCAAAACATCAATATTGGCACAGTTAGATGGCGATTTTGAAGGCGATCTACACAGAAAGCTGGTAAGAAAAGTTAATGATGTGGATGACGAAATTCAATGCGATTTTAGATTGATGTAACTACGCAAGAAATTGAAAATATTTGGCAGGAGATGAACATTTCTCTTCAAGATTCAGTATGCTGATATCTCTCCTCCCTAATGTACATAGACAACATTTTGTTGGGAAGAATCTTCGTGGGATAAAATTATAACATCGTTAGCTGAAGTTACAAACGAGATATTTCAAAAACATAATATACTGGAGAAGAGTATTTCAGAAGTCTCATTTCTGCAAGACAGACTACGGAATGGTATTTAGATGTTACAGTTCAATTTCTGTTCTAAAAGCTTTTAGGGATAAAATATCTATGTATATCAGTGCATTTTGTGATGCTCAGAAGTGTCACTCCGGTAGAACACTTAAACTGTAAGTTTATAATCATTATAATCATCTTAGCCATACTAATGACAAACCTTCTGTTGAAAATGCTAGCACTTCAGGTTTGGAATGCATTTTTTATCGATAAAGACTTTCAGAATATCAAGAGATATTTTCTCAGCATAACATAAAAAGCTCGAATGAAATTTCTGAGGATTCTTTGCATGGTATTAAAAATGAACATTTACAAGTGAGCCTCATTTTTTGATGCACAATTATCATGCAATTATTTAGCATATTTCTATTCTGAAGTTTATCTTCAAAGTAAAAGGTGTGTATAACTTTCCATAAGTGCTTATAAAAATGGCTTCAAGTAGAGTATATTACCCGGTTGCGTTGTTTTGATGTAATATATTACCATTCTTATCAGATATGATATGGCTATATGTAACACTAACATCCAGCTTACCTAACCTTTAGGTACTGATAAGCAATGATAAAACAGATACGTACTTCATGAAACAAACCTTTAGAGATTTAGAGGGCCAAGTGATGGTGTATTAGGTTATTCAGCTCAAATCTTAAGTGTATTTTGCACTTTATTTTGTTTTCAGTTTACGCGAATACAATTCAAGGTTTTTCAAGGTGATTCTTTTAAAATCGAACTCAGAAAATGTAACATTATTGAAATTATTATTCTGAGCTACTAGTCTTTATTATTCTGGTCATTTTACAATATGAGTACTGTTTGAAAGTCATTAGCACAAACCATCAACATCACATTAAAGATACTCAACAATGAGTACAACTTACTTATGGAGGAATAAAATCTTCCTGTTTATTGCACTCAAAATGTTTGTTGTAAAAAGATTAAATAAAAAGAAAATATATTTCATATTAATATAAAGCGTTATCCACTAGACCACCGTGTTTTATCCTATTCGGGACTCGTCAGCTGGATATGCCAGCACTTCAGTGAGTAGTGGTCTCCCTTCTGATACGCCGATCCACCAACTATCGCTTTAAACGCAATTCATAATATCGAAATGAAATCATCGGCTATATCAAGGAATAGGAACCCAAAGTCCAGTTGATGAGTCCCAAAACGCATCTCCTTGATTCTACTTATAGCCACTATCCATCAATAATATTGAAATTGAAAATAGACAATATTGATACAACCGCATCGGAGTCCATATGCCAATAAAGACTGACCAGTTCGGTCCAATCATCGATGGGAGGCTAATACGAGTAACGTCATAGAAAATAGTTTTACTCGTCTCAATATTTAATTTGTGGAACGTCATCACAAGATATCTTGTTTTACGTAAATATGAGGGGGAAGACAAACAATCATTTTCTTATAACGAAAAGGCTTTCTGACTGTCCAATTTTCTACTCAGTAAAATAACCTAATTATTTCACAGAAAAATTGTCATGTTCTTCTCTACAACTTTGTTACTCGTACTGTATTGGTTGAATCTAAGCTCAGTGATGCTTTTGAAGTGAAGACAGGAGTGAAACAAGGTTGCCTACTATCCCCCATGATGTTCCTGATTGTGGTGGACTGGATCATGCAGCAAACAGTGGGCAGCGAGAAGAGGGTGATACGCTGGCTGGACTGCGGAAAAGAACCTAGAAGACTTGGATTTCGCCGATGACTTATGCCTGATGTCATATAGACTTGAAGATCTACAGGCGAAAACTAACAAGTTGGTGGAAGAGGCAGCGAAGACGGGACTTCAGGTGAATATAGAGAAGATAGAAGTGACGAAGATACCGCACCACCACCATCATCAACAACAACAAACTCCAGTCACCATGAACGGGAGAAACTTAAAGGAAGTAACCTCCTTCACCTGTCTAGGCAGCACTGTTTCAACTACAGGCGGGACAGACGAGGATGTCAAAGTCAGAATCGGAAAAGCAAGACAGGCATTTATTTGCCTGAAACCAGTGTGGAGATCTGCACTCAGCATGTGGAACGAGATCCGGATTTTCAACACCAACGTCAAGTCAGTGCTTCTGTATGGCTCAGAGACTTGGCGCGTCACGAAAGGGATTTCCAACAAACTATAGACATTCATCAACAACTGCTTACGCTTGCTACTGAAGATCAGATGGCCAGAAAGAATAAGCAACAAGGAGCTGTGGGAACGAACCAACCAAGAACCTATCACCCAGCAAATATGCAGAAGGAAATGGAGATGGATTGGGTATACACTGAGAAGGCCAGCTGGGGACATCACGCGTCAGGTCAGGCCCTCGAGTGGAATCCCTATGGGAAGCGACGAGTTGGGCGTCCGTGGTGAAGGTGACATGGAGGAGGTCGTGCGAGGAGGAAATGAGAGCTTGTGGGCTGTCGTGGAACCAGGTTCAAAAGATCTCAGAGGACAGAGTTCACTGGAGACGTGCTACTGAAGCCCTATGTTCCACTAGGAACCCAAGGGACTAATAATAATAATCTCCAGTTTTATTGAGTCAATCTTCTCTAACTACTGATTGTGATCATAGATCATTAAATCAGTGTATGTGTGTATGATATGGTGAAATTTGCATTGGATACCAAATGATTTACGAAATTCATTGATCCTTGTTATCCACAAGAACACTTCCTTAATAACGTCAATATAATTCTTGAGAAATGCAACTTCACATGTTATTGTCAATGGTTTCAAATAACTTATAGTAAGAATTTGGCGCTTTTTTTCGGATAAGATCAAGTTTAATAACCATATTATCATATTTTTGTTCTCTGTTATGTATTGTAGTCCATTCAAGATGGGTTGAAATTTAGTCAGTAAGCCATGTGACTCATGATCACAATGTTGGGATTTTTTTTGGATAATAACAATTGAATACTTTCAAACTAGTTTTCTTTATTAGTTTTAGAAATTTGATAGCATCACCTCCAGATCTCTAGTGAAGAACGCAGTGTACCGAGATACGTATCTATATGGCAAACTAGCCAGATCTCTGTCTGTCGTCAAGAGAATCCAACCAGTTGTGATGACTGAGGATTATGTCGATAATAATCGACTTATGTCTGTATTTCTATTGTATTTTGTATAGTTATTCTTGCTTTAAATAGTCAAACAAGAGTATTTCATTTCAGTTAATACAATTCTCAAGTTATGAGAATTATTATTTTGAATTAATTTAATTGGGTAAATAAGGGAAGTGACCGAGTGAATAATAAGAAATATGCGAACGCTACTAACGCAATGAGACACTTGGTCTGGATACGAATAGCCATTGTCCTCTCTCAATACCTTATTCTTCCTTAAGCCACGAAAATATATACACACAAAACTGGCCTGTGGCTGTATAAAAAAGATACTTTATTCCACAAGAATACATCATTTATATACAGTGTTCATGAACATATAAAGCCACTAGGTCATAGTTTAAATGGCTTATTGTGATTGGTCACTTGTGGGACAGAATTGTCCAATAAGGTTTCTCCTGACCACACAACGATATGAAAGAAAAACGGGAATACAAAATCTTTAACGTTAGCAGCTGATGACTTAAAATATTGATTTCCATTTATATCGCTTTCTATCGATAAGTTCAATAAAAATTTTAAAACAATCAAACATTTTTCTCTCAATTTATGTGTTTTAGGTTCATTTACTCAAGGTAGTTAATTTTCTATTAAAATATATAAGGTCTTATTCAATTCCAGATTGACACATCAAATGATCCATCACACTCCGATCTATTGAAACAAATTCAGGCGGAACCTGTTATTCATAAAAATCAACAACCAAGTTTTTTGACCAAGTTATTTGGAAACAAGGTAATTAAGTGATAAGAAAATGAATAACTTTTCTTAAATATTTGAACAAGTTCAAGATATTTTTTTAATAAACGTGGACTAGATTCCAGCATTTGTAAGATGATGATGGCATAGCACGAAAACAAGAACCGAAATCCTACATTATTGGCTTTTGAGATCCTTCATTTTTAACCTTCAATTAACTTTGTCCCATTGAATAAACCGACCTAGTGACTGCATAGTTAACGCGTTCGCCGTGAAACCTGAAGGTCCTGAGTTCGATCTGTAGCCGGGTCGTGGGTGCGTACTGCTGAGGAGTCCTATGCTAAGACGAAACAGCTATCCAGTGCTCCCAGGTTTTCAACGGTTCCCCAACTAATGTCAGTCCATGATGAATACTACCTCTAAATTAAAAATCGACATTCATCTCAAAAATAAATTTATAATTGTGTTATTCTGGTTGCTTTGTGTGTATATGTGTTCAGTTAGTAGATTTATTGCATAGAGAATGAACTAACCTAGTATAATTTACTGAATGACGTTTCGAGCAAAATTTATTGCTCATATTCACATCAAACTTGTCATAAGAATTTCAGACTTCCTTTATATAGCCCGACGGTTCTTCGTTCTTTTGTTTTAATCGTAGTAACATTTTCCAGATATCTGTAATAGGTGATGAATCATTGGTGCTACATGTGTTAGATTTTGATTTCATGGACAAAGATTCTGTGATCGAGTTGATATCTGCTTGCTAACTAGCAGCGGAATCCAGACGTGCTGTTCGGGACTCGTCAGCTGGACGTGTTGGCATCTCCCGTTGAGTGGTAGTGTCCACACTGATACTCCGATCCACTGCGCATCACTTCAAGTGCCAAAGCGTTATCCACTAGGCCAATGGGTCATGGGAGCCACCTCTTGTGGAACAGGTATCTCGATGAAGTCGAATTGCTCGATCTCTGTGGTCAAATTCTCCTTTCACCTAGCTATATTGAACTTTAGAACTGTCACCCTATCCCATCCCATAATGTGATTGTGGGTCAGCGTATGTAGAGCGATAACCAAGTTTTTCTCTACACCACATATCTTAGTAGGGTCTACCATTGTATGTCTCCCTAGACTTTTATGTTGTACTATTCTGACTGACCCAGATCAGTTACTTTTACCTACATACTAGACCTCACAATCATTACATGGTGTCTGAAAGATTAGGTTACTTTTTCTTACAAAGGTTTCCTCTGAGTGAGTTTGTGGGTTTAAATGCCACCCTAATCCCACCATTGTTAAGAATTCTACTTAGGGTTTCCGATGTACCTTCTTTATATGGGACCACTAAATACAGGTTTTGAATTCCCTCTAAGGCATGTTCTAGTCACCACTAAGATTACCACTTCTTCTCTTACCAGTCCTTATAGACTCTGATAAATTCTGGAGGGTAGGTATTAAGGAATAGTGTCTCTTCGATATGTTTCCTTATTTAGGTATTCAGGCTTACATGTCAAACTCCAAGCCTAATTACTTAGACACTTTATCAAGCCTACCTTGACAGATATACGGTGAGATGATGTGAAATTTAAGTATCCATTCGAATGCATGGATTTCCTATACACACTGGTATCGAAGCTCCCATCTTCTCTCCTCTTGATCTTATAATCCAACAGAGGTAATTCTACTTCTTTATCTTCTTTATTTCACTTTGATATGAATATGAACAATAAATTCTGCTCAAAATGTCATCCAGTAAACTATACTGTATCATTGTGTGCTTTATCAATAAAATAAACAATCTAATATGGAATTGTACTCTATCACAATGCCCAAGTTTTTCTCTTACATTACTAATTAATGATTTCTTTATCATATCCATTGGTGGATTGAACCTTAAAGTTCACATCCATAGACTTGTGTACATTAAACTACTTGAGTACAAAATTTACTCAACTACTCAATTCAGTTTTCACGAAGAGAAATGGAAACTTTTAAAAATGCAGAGATTATTTCTCAAAACATGCATTTAAAGGTTTTCACTACTTAACGAATACATTTCAATTTATACAAGCCATTTGTGCTTTTATTAGTTAGAAAGCACTGAAATGTTTAGTTCTCAACTATTCTTTCATGATTCATTTGTTAATTAAAAGTTTATCACTTTCACTGGACAAGCTTTTTAAGTGTATAGTTTGTTTGTTGTTATAGTGTAGTAAATATATTACCTGTGTATTAATTAGTTAAGCATATTGAAACGTTTAGCCAGTTAATTTCAATAGGTTTATATCTGAACATCTGGAACCATATATACATAAACACTTCAATAGACATAAATTTAACCAACTAATCTAATTGGTGGGTACTTCAGTTTACCAACCTAACATAAATGTTAGGTATAACCTACCTTCTAAAATGAATGACTTTTTAGTAACTAGTTTTAGATTTTGCTGGTCAAAATACAGATATCAAATGGTTGTTAGTAGTGTTTTACTACTGTTGAGTAAACCCAAGTTCATAAAGTAGCATCCTCTGTTCCATATATTACATTAATGAAATTAGTCAGGAATAAAATTTTGAACAGTTTTAATTTATAAACATGAAAGATGAAATAATATCATGTAGTCAGGCTTCTTTTGACATAAATTGAAGTAAACTCTTAGTATCATCTTCAGTGCAACCTGACAAGAAAACAAAGCTGACGGGTATCTCCTAAATAAGTCATATTGAGGATACTCTCTATTCGCCTAGACAATGGACTTCAATGACTCAACTCTATGAATCTGTAGTTGATTAACTAACTGAAACTAAAATTAATTTGCACTTAATCAGCAAAATCTAACTATTATTTTCCTGTTTGAGCTTACACATTTAAAATATTCTCATTGGCCGGATCAGTTGTTTATTGAGTGAATCATTACGTCCACAAAAAGCCTGAAATTCCTTGAATATCCTCACTAATCTTGGTTGTATTGTGTTCTCTGAGATGGGTTGTTTAGTCGTAAGGCTTTCATCGTCTTTGTAGACAACATCAGCAGCACTAACTTCAATATGAAGTGAGCTGTCAACATCTCTCCATCAGTGATCCAGTAGCTTACCCTGACCAACTAGTTTGTGATTGGTTCCTTCCTTTGATTGTTGTGTCATCGACTGCATAGATTTATTTTGCTGTTAGCTGCACCTCAGCTTGATCTCTAACCTATCTGTCGTTCACCATTTTTCTCACTGGTTGATAGAATGGGTCTATGTCTATACACCTATTGATTACTGACTGACCTGAATGCTGAGCTTCTAATAATTCTCTGATATTCTTTGTGCTTCCTCTCTGCATCACAGATTTCTACATTGTCGAAATGGAATTCATGTCGACAATTATCCGCATGCATTGGAATGAGTGATGAAATGTCGTGGGGCTCAATAGCCAATTGGTGTTTATGTAAATGAAAGTGAATAGGGCTACCACTTTGTCCAATGTAGTGTTGACCACAGTTATTGTAGTTGATTTTGTAGATGATATTCAGTTTGTCTTCTTTGGTTGTTGCATCCTGTGGCCTGCATAATAGTGTTTGGAGAGGATTTGTTGATTTATGAGTCACACGAATTCGAAGTGGTTTCGGCAATCTTGTCTTGGTCTGTGATGCATTTTTTGTGTGTGATAGGATGATGGGTTTGTTGATTTGTGTCGATGACTTTGTAGTTGATGATGTACGGAATGGATAGGCACCTACTGATAATGTATTGTGGGTAGCTGTGCTTGTTTAGAATAGACGTCAAATAATTTTCTTGGTTTCTCAGTGAAGTTGTTGTAGTGGAGTGTGTTCTCGTTCTTTGAATAGAGTTTGCGTGCGATTAATTTTGTGCGTTGTTGTTACTGTAATGTGTGTGTTGGCTTCCTTTTCAATTAGGTTTCCGGCTTGTATGCTTGCCAAAATTTTACGAAAATATACATACTCAAACCTGTGAGCTCCAGATTGAATAGAAAATGTTTTTCTAGGAATGTTTAGAAAATTTCAAGGTTTCTGAAAACAAACGCAAACACTTTTACGTTTTGTATATGTTTGACTTGACATTAAGCCTTCAGTTGTCCTATTTCCTCCTTCTGTTGTGGAGAAGCTGAGCCACTTTCAAGGAAAAAGCACTAGACAGGTGTTTTGTCTTATTATGGGGCTCTGTAGCAGTGCACATTTATGACTCTACCGGAGGTCAAACCCAAGAGCGTCAGGTTTCGCTGCTAGCTCACTACCATAGAGTCACTGAGTTGAAATTCAATTACTCATATTTTCTTACTTCTGTCAATTCACAATATAACGTGACCATTATCTAATGCCATCGTTGAGTATTTGTTCTCATCTCCAACTTGGTTTATTTCAAAGGTCACAACTTCTCACCAGAAAATTGGGACATCTCATACTGAAGCATGTCACTGAGGAACAGTGGACAGTATTCATATGTAGATTGATTGATTTTGAATCGAACGTGAGGAAAAATACTCAGTGGTCACGCTTTATTGTGGATTGACAAAAGTGGGAGAATGAGAGTCACTGGTTCTCCACACAGTGGCTCAGTAGTTAACGTGCACGTCACGAGACCTAGCGACCCTGGGTTAGGGCCCCTTCGGTGTCATGTGTGCTCACTGCTGGGGAGTCCCATAGTTGAACTAAGCAGTCTTTCACTCCTTCAAGGTTTTCAGTGGTTCTCCATGTATATACATCAGGTGATTTATAGTGTTTCATGCGCAAAAATAAGGTTACCAGTTATAAAAAAATTAAAATATTCCAGCTAAACATGTTCCATTCTGTGCTCTATATCTGTTTTTAAAAAAGGTTGTTTGAACAAAGAAATATGTTCCCATATTCTTATCTATTTTAGATGGTATTAACTCCTGATGTGAGGCCAACAGACAGACATTGTATATCTGAAATTTTATTGAAGGCTATGGGTCCATTATGGAATGATTTTACGGAAGAAGTAATTCAGTTTTAGTGTTTTTAGATAACTTTTTGTGAACAATTTGATGTACCCCTACTTGGAGGAGAAGTTATTGAAATCAGGTTAAGTTACGTTTTATTCCCTCATTCCTATTTAAACAATTTCGATACTATATTATGGGGAGAGATTATGCTATAAAACATCCTTTACAGTTTCTAAAACCGTTTTGATGAATTTCGAGTGTCAACGTCGATATTGTAACCTGAAATTATAGCGTGTACAGCTACGCTGAGGTGTTTTCAAGCTATTTCAGGTCTACTGGACTTCTTGGTGGTTATGTGGAAGCCCTTCGGTGGTCACTTTTTCTAAATTTGATTTCATACAAAAACTATCCAGTGTGTACTACACCGTAGTTTCAACATTTTATTTTATCTTGCGGAATATTATCGTTCATGCAGGCTAAAGAGCTTCGTAGTCAGTGTATATAAACTCATGTGCCCTTATAAACTGTAACTTATACTCCTATGACACGTAACATATCATCTTTACTAGCAGTTTGATAACGTAGAATCATTCACTCATAAAAACTCAAACCAAGTTATCATATATGTGTCTGGGTAATATAAGTTCTGGTTTACCAGAATTATGTTAAAGCAGTTGGCATAAAATAGCAAAACATCATTATGATACAACCTTGTATTTGTTACGAAACACAAATAGTAAAATAATGAATGTCAAAATAATCATAATTAGTGTGAAACAGTGGTATCCAATATGTCCATTTCGTCCTATTTATGATTCATCAACTGGATATACTTGCCTCTCAGTGAACAATATTGTCCCGACCAAGACTTGAATCTGGGACCAAAGTATTATCCCCACTAGGTCATCGGGTCACTATCGACTATAGGATAATACATCCAACAACCTAATGAATATATCATTTACCCGAAGTTAAAAAATTTTTCAAGACATTGAATCCCAATTTATTTTAGATATCCATAAACCTTAGATATAGTTTTCACACTTCATCGGTATCTTCAAACTTGAAGGAAACTGTGCTGTGTAGAAGGCTCGATTCTATATCATTTGATTGGAAAGTGAGAGAATTTAGCTAAATCTATATAGATCTCAAATAACTCCCCTGTTAAAAAAGATGATGGATAAAAGTTTATGAATATTAGTTATTGTTTAAATTGTGAAAGTCTCAAGTCATATACAAATTAGCTTCAGCATATTTAGGTCTACAGAATATGCATATCTTCATACATGAACTTAGTATTGGTTGCTTAAATACATGCAGTTTCGACTTACTAACTTTACAATAAATCCCATCATAAAAATAAGAGGTTTTTTAAAATAGTATGAAACATCCGTTCCTAACAATCATTAGAACTCATGATACAACTATGCTCAATATTCGTATCACTGATTGTTTTAAATGAGCATATCCTAGTTCTGACACATAACGTGACAAAAAAAATACAATGGTATACATATAGAAGGCAAAGAGACGTGGATAAAATCGTTTGTTTATTTGGTGAACAACACTTTTAGAACATCATTTGACAATAATAATAATAATAATAAAATTACAGATTGATGAAGAGACTAGTATGGAGTTAGACAAGAATTTGCCTACCGTTGATGAAAATGCGAAAATCTTTTCAAATCTTGTAAAGACTATTTCGAAACCTTTCAATGAAATGAAATTTATTACCGTAAGTCGTAGTAAATGGTGGCAAACATCCTTTTTCTTCCCTCCTATTATCAAATATGCTTATTCGGAATGATTTGTTAAAGTTTAATTGTTATTAGTTAGTTGAATGCCGTTGACAGGAAACCCTGCACTTAGGTTTCGTGAGTGTTAGCACTCATCAGTAAGGCCTATCCGCAACCTCAAGGGAACTGATGTCCCTTCTAAGATTCATTGATGAACCTCCTAGCTTGGTGGGTGCATTGCAAAAATGACTGATGGAATTCGACCAACATTCAGGAATAGACAACATAAAATTGGTTGCTTTCCAGTAACCAATCAGTGTATCTAACCCAGTCCTACAAGAGGTCCATCATGACCTGACTAGCTCACTGGTGACGTCGCTGACTACAGCACTGGGTAACGCGGGTTCGAATCTCACGTGGGACATCAGCTCCTTCGAGGTTGCAGGTGCGTTCTGCTGACGAGTGCCAACCATTGGGAAACCTAGTTCCTGTGCTCTCTGCCGACTGCCTCCATCCAACTAACATCTATCAAAGTGCATCGTGACTCTGAGCTGCCTAGTTTGGTGGCCACATTGCAAAATGATAGATAAAATTTTTTCAGCACTCAGGGGTAGACAACATAAAGTTGGTTATCCTCCAGTGGCTAATCAACGTAAAGTTTAATTTATTCACGTTACAGTGTGTAATAACGTGTAATGAAGTTTCCAACTATGTTAGCTTCAATTATATGAAAGTTTCTAGTCCGACTAGTGACTGAAACTTCCAAAGTTACTGAACTTAATATTTTGCAGATGCCAAGTGAAATGACTCAAAGTTGACGAAACTAGTACGTCAATGCATTCATTCCCCTTTTAACCGGTTGTTACAGTGGAGAATATTTGTAGATCAGGTGATTAGTCTTGGTTGTATTATGTTCTCTGAAATGGGTTGTTTAGTCGTAAAGCTTTCATCGTCTTTGTAGATGACATCAGCAGCACTAACTTCAATATGAAGTGAGCTGTCAACATCTCTCCATCAGTGATCCAGTAGCTTACCCTGACCAACTAGTTTGTGATTGGTTCCTTCCTTTGATTGTTGTGTCATCGACTGCATAGATTTATTTTGCTGTTAGCTGCACCTCAGCTTGATCTCTAACCTATCTGTCGTTCACCATTTTTCTCACTGGTTGATAGAATGGGTCTATGTCTATACACCTATTGATTACTGACTGACCTGAATGCTGAGCTTCTAATAATTCTCTGATATTCTTTGTGCTTCCTCTCTGCATCACAGATTTCTACATTGTCGAAATGGAATTCATGTCGACAATTATCCGCATGCATTGGAATGAGTGATGAAATGTCGTGGGGCTCAATAGCCAATTGGTGTTTATGTAAATGAAAGTGAATAGGGCTACCACTTTGTCCAATGTAGTGTTGACCACAGTTATTGTAGTTGATTTTGTAGATGATATTCAGTTTGTCTTCTTTGGTTGTTGCATCCTGTGGCCTGCATAATAGTGTTTGGAGAGGATTTGTTGATTTATGAGTCACACGAATTCGAAGTGGTTTCGGCAATCTTGTCTTGGTCTGTGATGCATTTTTTGTGTGTGATAGGATGATGGGTTTGTTGATTTGTGTCGATGACTTTGTAGTTGATGATGTACGGAATGGATAGGCACCTACTGATAATGTATTGTGGGTAGCTGTGCTTGTTTAGAATTATTTATTATTATTATTAGTCCCTTGGGTTCCGAGTGGAACATAGGGCTTCAGTAGCACGCCTCCAGTGACCTCTGTTCTCTGAGATCTTTTGAACCTGGTTCCACGACAGCCCAGAAGCTCTCATTTCCTCCTCGCATGACCTCCTCCATGTCACCCTCGGACGTCCAACTCGTCGCTTCCCATAGGGATTCCACTCGAGGGCCTGACGCGTGATGTCCTCAGTCGGCCTTCTCAGTGCATGCCCAATCCATCTCCACTTCTTCCTGCATATTTGTTGCGTGATAGGTTCTTGGTTGCTTCGTTCCCAGAGTTCCTTGTTGCTTATTTTTTCTGGCCATCTGATCTTCAGCAACGAGCGTAAGCAGTTGTTGATGAATGTCTGTAGTTTATTGGAAATACCTTTCGTGGCGCGCCAAGTCTCTGAGCCATACAAGAGCACTGACTTGACGTTGGTGTTGAAAATCCGTATCTTGTTCCGCATGCTGAGTGCAGAAGATCTCCACACTGGTTTCAGGCTAATGAACGCCTGTCTTGCTTTTCCGATTCTGACTTTGACGTCCTCGTCCGTCCCGCCTGTAGTTGAAACAGTGCTTCCTAGATAAGTGAAGGAGGTTACTTCCTTCAAGTTTCTCCCGTTGACGGTGATTGGAGTTTGTTGTTGTTGTTGATGGTGGTGGTGCGGTATCTTCATCACTTCTGTCTTCTCTATATTCACCTGAAGTCCCGTCTTAGCTGCCTCTTCTGTCAACTTGTTAGTTTTTGCCTGCAGATCTTCAAGTTTATGTGACATTAGGCATAAGTCATCGGCGAAATCCAAGTCTTCTAGGTTCTTTTCCGTCGTCCAGTGTATCCCCCTCTTCTCGCTGCCTACTGTTTGCTGCATGATCCAGTCCACCACAATAAGGAATATCATGGGGGATAGTAGGCAACCTTGTTTCACTCCTGTCTTCACTTCAAAGGCATCACTGAGCTTCCCATTGTGGATTACTTGGCATGTGGCATCTTCATATAGTTGTTGAATGAGGCGGATAAAGGTTTGCGGTACTCCGTAGTATTGAAGCAGTTTCCAAATTACTTCTCGGTCGACGCTGTCAAAGGCCTTCTCAAAGTCGATGAAGTTGAGGTATAGAGCTGATTGCCATTCTACGCTCTGTTCTATGATGATACGAAGCGTTGCAATTTGGTCAGCACATGATTTGTACTTCCTGAAGCCTGCCTGTTCCGGTCGCAGTTTTGAATCCAGTGCGTCTTTAAGCCTCTCCAGGATGATGCGGCTTAATATTTTACTTGGGGTGGACAGGAGAGTGATTCCGCGCCAGTTCTTGCAAGCACTGAGGTCTCCCTTCTTCGGCAGTTTGACAAGGTAACCCTTCTTCCAATCGTCAGGTACCTTCTCTTCCTTCCACACCTTCTGCAATAGTGGTGTGAGCATGTCCGCTGTTGTCTCTGCATCTGTTCTCAGTGCTTCTGGCGGTATTCCATCTGGTCCTGCTGCTTTCCCACCTTTCAGTAGCTTTATGGCGTTCAGGACTTCCATTTTCGTTGGGGGATTTATGTTCACTTGTAATTCAGCGGCTGCAGGTGGTATTTCTGGACGAAGTGCAGGTGGTGGTCGATTCAAGAGCTTCTTGAAGTGGTCGGCCCATCGTTTCCTCTGTTTCTCTTCTTTTGTAATTAAATTTCCTTCTTCATCTTTTATTGGTTTCATCTGTGTTGGTCTCTTCCCTGATAGCAACCTGGTTATTTGATACAATGTCGTCAGGTCTCTCTTACCTGCAGCCTGTTCTGCTTCACTTGCCAGTGTGTCGTAGAAGTGTCTTTTGTCTTTGCGTGCACTCTTCTTCACTTCTTTGTCCAGTGTTTTATACATTGTGCTCAGTTCCTCTTGTCGTTGAGCATCCTTGCACTGGTTTATCTTCTGCTTCACCATCCTCCTCTCCTCTATCAGCTTCCAGGTATCCGTCGAGATCCATTCCTTGTCTTCTTTCTTCTTCCTTCCTAATACGGCTGTGCAGGTTTCTTTCCACACAGCTTTCAAAGACTTCCAGTGTTCTTCCACACAGGTTTCTTCAGGGATGTCCCTCGACGTCTCCCATTTTGTCTTGATGGCTGCTTTGAAGATCTCCTTTGTAGTTTCATCCTTCAGTTTCCGAGTGTTGTACTTGAATTGAGGTCTATCACCAGCTTCCTTGAAGGCTTTTAACTTGATTTGGAAGGTTCCTTGCACTAGATAGTGGTCTGAACCTACATCTGCTCCTCTTCTTGACCTTGTGTTAAGTAGACTGCGTCTCCATTTTCTTGAGATTGAGATAAAGTCGATTTGATTTTTAGTGTGTCCATCTGGTGAAGTCCATGTCGCTTTGTGGATATCCTTGTGCCTGAACACACTGCCTCCAATCACCAAATCGTTGAATGCACAGAATTCTGCAAACAATTCTCCATTCTCATTCATTTCACCTAGCGCCTCTCGACCCATGGTTAGTTCTCTTCCCGTATTGTCCCCTCCCAGTTTGGCATTCATGTCGCCCATTAGAATTTTGATATCGCCAACTGACGTCTTGTCCAGTGTTGATTGAAGTTGTCTGTAGAAATCCTCCTTTTTCTCTTGCTCTGCATTATTTGTAGGTGCATAACATTGTATGATTGTGACCTTTCTTCCTTTTGAGTTGAACCTTGCTGTCATGATCCTGGAGGAGATTGGTTCCCACTGCATGAGAGCCTTCGATGCTCTTGAGGACATCATGATAGCCACTCCCTCAGTGTGCTCGTGGTTGGCGTCTGGGTGACCGGAGTAGATTATTGATTCTCCAGTTGACAGTTTGGAGAGTCCACTCCCATTCCATCTGCTTTCGCAAATCCCAAGCACTTCGATGTTATACCTTCTCATCTCCTTTGCAATCTGGGCTGCCTTACTGGGTTCAAACATCGTGCGGACATTCCATGTCCCCACGTTTACTTTCGCTTTCATCGAGAGAAGACACATCGGCCAATTGGCTTCCCGAAGGCTTTCACCAACTGGCGTCATTTCGCCTCTCCGATTCCAGCGGGGTATAAGTTTGTTTTCATTTTTTATATTTTGTTTGTGCTTTGAAGTTTCTTTAGCGGTTAGATTTGTTTTACGGGGTAGGGTTGCTAGCCCTATGCCCAACCTTCCCTCTTTACCCGGGCTTAGGACCGGCTAGTAACTAGTAAACTAGTTAACCAGGCGAGGTTTAGAATAGACGTCAAATAATTTTCTTGGTTTCTCAGTGAAGTTGTTGTAGTGGAGTGTGTTCTCGTTCTTTTGAATAGAGTTTGCGTGCGATTAATTTTGTGCGTTGTTGCTACTGTAATGTGTGTGTTGGCTTCCTTTTCACTTGGGTTTCCTGCTTTTCGACATTTGTCTTACTGACTAAAACGTTCAGAAATGGTAGTTGGTTCTTTGACTCCTTCTCCATTGTGAATTTCATGTCACTGAAAACGCCGTTTATCGAACTGTGAGTGTTTTCTGTATCATCCTTTTTAATGATGACAATAGTGTCGTCTACATAGGGAATCTGAATTTTTGGTTTAATCACCGGTAGACTGATGGGTTTCAGTCTTTGCATGACTGCTTCTGCAATTAGTCCGGATATCGGTGATCCTATTGGAGTTCCTTTCATCTGTTTATATATCTTGCCATTGAATTGGAAATATGTTGTCAGACAAAGGTCGATGGGTTGCATCGCACCTGAACCTTTGCGTTTTTTGTGTTCTGAAAGACTTGTGTCATCAGTGAGCAGGAGTGGCATAGTTTCCTTGACCAACTGTGGTTCGATTTATGTGTAAAGTGCTGTGACATCGAAGGATAGCATTAATTCGTCGTTTTCTATGTGAATGCTTTCGATCTTCTCTAAGAATTCCGTTGGTGACTTGATGGAAAGCTTCACAACTAAACAACCCATCTCGGACACCACTTTACAACCAAGATCTTGTTGTTATAAATACTTGAAGCGTTAATATATATTTTCTATCGGTTTAGTATCTTTTATTTATACTACATTTTCTTTAAGAATATGTATTCTTGCCATTTGTCTGTTTTCACTACTGTGGGAATGCTACAGACGCATAATTTTACTTTATGTTTTCCTATAACGTTAAAATTACTTATCATTAATGTTTACATATCATTGCCAGCTTTTGTTTTCCCACTACAACCAATCAGGTTGCACCGAATTTTCGAGAAAAGTCACATGAACCAACGTGTAAAAATATCAGATTGGTTTAAAGAATCGAAATGAGCAGGACATCCAAATCTAGAATGACCATGAAATAGCCAAGGCCATCGTATATATATATATATATATATATATATATATATATATATATATATATATATATATACATATGTATATATATATATATATATATATATATATATATAAACCCCTGTATTTTGTATACATTTTTGAAGTTCTAATACACTTTCTGTTATCTTACCCCCATATTCAGTAATCGAAAACCTAAACGATTGGGCTGAGTTAAAGTTTCCAGTGTTCAAGTTACGACTATTGGGATAACTATATTGTCATCTTTGTCATCAAGTGTTTCTCCACAGAATTGAAAACTGTCGCACTTTACCAAATAGCTAAGTTGAGCATGAGTTAAAAAGAAATACTCGCTATTGGTTTTGAACGATATTCGTACCATGTTTCGTCTTGACGGTATTTGGAAAATGTGCCTCAATAATATCATCCTCGCCATGGTTCGTGTGTTATATCCCTCAAAGGATCATAGATGTGATCTGCTAAAGACTTTCAGTGGTCCTCTACGTGAATTGAATATCGCGATGAAAAGCTATTTGAAATCAATCAATTCGTGGCAAACGTATCTCTCAGAATATAAAAGAAGAACAAGTATACTTCAGTGAAGAGTCTCTTTTCGGCGATTCCATTCTCAAAGCTGTACAACCGAAAATTTATACACCTTTTCTAGTGTAAGGATTTGACAATTAAAAATGGTTCGTCAAGCATGGCAACACAAATGGGCTGTCATTAAAATCACAAAACCAAAACCTGATGAGTAATGACATTAATCAAAATAAGTTTGGACAAGAACACTTTTCGTAACATGATGACACAATTAGAAACTGAACTGTGATCAGGCGCAGCATAGTAGGTAGATCAATTCACAAAAAACCAGTGTGGAATGGTCAACTGGCGAACTTTAATAGCTGAGTCTGTATGAGTCGTAAGCGAAATCTGATCATATCTCTTGCCACTCACATTAGACGAATCTCCAGTCCTGATGTGTTAGAAGAGGAAGTTTCTGTTCTAGAGAACATCCTGATTGAAAAAGGATTACCACCACGCTTCATCGACAAACACATCAAGCCTAAACCTCGCAAAGAGAATCTTGCCACTGTGCCAAAAAGACACTCTATGTGAATCTAAACTTCAAAGGTGATTCTGCAGCTGATACTCTAAAGAAAAGGATATCAAACGCTTTAAGGAGACTATTCTTTGCATCATCGCCGAGACTAGTATTCTCTTGCCGCCCAACGATTTCTAACAAGTCGAAGGAGGAACTTTCGTATCTAACCACTTCTATGTCTATTTATCCATTCACCTGTTCATGTGGAGCCAGGTATATAGGTTGTTCCATGCAACTGTTATCCAAAAGGGTTCAAGAACACTATCTCACTTGGTTACAAAGAGGTAATAATGGAGCTATAAGGAGTACTATAATTGAGCACATCGTGAACGCGAATCACCCTATCTCAAGAACCTCCTCGTTCAAAGTCATCTACAAAGAGAAAAGAAATCTCCCAAAAGCTATATTTCTTCGTATTCTTTACATCATAGAAGATCTTGCCATCCAAATAGAGAAACCTGAACTAGGTATGCAAAAGAAAATTGTTCAACCTTTCCTTCTTTCATAGTCTTAGTTTACAGTCTTCTCTACCATTCCCCCACTTTTTCTTTTGACTTTTCTGTTTTAACACTAATCACTTCTTAAGTAATTTGCTACTCATTCTTGTTGTTATGCCCTGCCTGATGATAATTCAGTTTCCAATTATGTCATCATGTTACGAAACGTATTCTCGTCCAAATTTATTTTGATTAATTTCACTACTTATCAGGTTTCGGTTTTGTGATTTTAATGACAGCCCATTTGTATTGTCATGTTTGACAAAACGTTTTTAACTATCGAATCCCTACAGTAGAAAAGGTGTATAAATTTTCGGTTGTACAGCTTTGAGAATGGAATCGCTGAAAAGAGACTCTTCACTGAAGTATACTTGTTCTTCTTTCAAAACCTCTCTCTCGACTTATCATGTTGGTGGTAATTTTTATTATTATTTGTCACTTGGGTTCCTCGTGCAACATTCGGTTTCAATAGCATGTCGTCGTTTCACTCTCTTCTCTGCAGTCTTTTTAACACGCCTCCACCACTGTCTACAAGCTTTCATTTCTTCCTCACACCATCTCCTCCATGTCACCCTCACATCGGATGCCCAACTCATCGTTTCCCATTTCGGTTCCACTCGACGGCCTCACCTGGCCTGACCTGGCACGTGATGTCCTCAAACAGTCTTCTCAGTGTATGTTCAACCCAATCCATCTCCACTTTCTTCCTCTTCATATTTGTTGGGTGATAGGTTGTTGTAGGGTTCGTTACCAGCCAGCCAGCCAGCCAGCCAGCCAGCCAGCCAGCCAGCCAGCCAGCCAGCCAGCCAGCCAGCCAGCCAGCCAGCCAGCCAGCCAGCCAGCCAGCCAGCCAGCCAGCCAGCCAGCCAGCCAGCCAGCCAGCCAGCCAGCCAGCCAGCCAGCCAGCCAGAGTTCCTCCTTGCTTATTCTTTCTGACCATCCATATGATCTTCAGTATCGAGTGAGCGTAGATGGCAGGTGTTGATGAATGTCTGTAGTTTGTTGGAAATGCTTTTCGTAATGCACCAAGTCTCTGAAGCATTACATAGACGCACTGACTTGACTGACGCTGGTGTTGAAAATCCGCATCTTGTTCACGCTTTGTGCTGAGTGCAGTAGATCTCCACACTGATTTCAGAATAATGAAGGAAGGCCTGTCTTGCTGTTTTTCCGGTGCTGGATTTGATATCCTCATCTGTGCTCCGCCGCCTATAGTTGAGATAATGCTGCCTAGGTAGGTAGGTGAGTAAGATAACTTGCTTTAGATTTCTCCCGTTGATGGCAATTGGTGCTTGTTTTTATTGATTGGGTGTCTTCATTGCCGCTGTCTTCCCTACGCTCACCTGAAGTTCCGTCTTCCTTCACTGCCTCGCCTCTTTTGCTAACTTGTTAGTTTTCGCCTGTAGATATTCGAGTTTGTGCGACAAGACATTTGGCATAAATCATCATCGACGAAATTCAAATCTTCTAGGGTCTTCTCATCAGTTTTCTCAAACAGTGTATGCTCATCTACTCACTTCTCATCGTTTGTTGCATTATCCAGTTCACCACAGACTGTAAGATAAACAAAAATGCATTTTTCAACTATGCACAGTCATATAAAATTTGAAGTTTACTTTTCTGATTCTTACTAACTAATTTATTTTATAATGCCTTGTTCAACGAAATACTAATCAAGAACGTTGAAGAGTTGAAGTTCAATGAAATACCAGTTCCTGATACAATAGATTTAAAATCTATTTATGAGGTAATCCATCAATTATCAAGCAACATCGATAAGAATTATAATTCTAAATCTTTACAAATGAAATTTTCTCAATCTTATCTAATGGATAAATCAAAATGGATTTTACCGTAAGTGATGATATTGTAGATTTATTAAAACAACTTTTTCAGACGCTACACTTATTTTGTTGTTGTTGTTGTTGACCTAACATGTACACTATTCCAATTATTAACTGGTAAAGGAATTGAAGTTTAAGATTTGTAAGTTTAGAAACGTTATTCAGACTCTTTTTTTTGAACAATGCATGAACAAAGACATTTGTAGAATAAAATGAGCTCATTTTATTTTATGGCCTTTCATCAGCTGCAAACAGCCACAATTGAAATGAAGTATTAATAGTAATAATGGCATAAAATATTAGACTTTCCAAATAGGTGTTGTGTCACTCCTATCACATGTGTGTTGGGTATTGATTCGATGAACAAAGATTCAGTAATCAATCTCTCCCTCTTTCCACCTAATCATATTGAACTTAAGTACAGTCGTTTTGTCCCACTGTATTATGTGGTGGTATGTTAATGCATGCATTGCAATAGCTGAGTATTTTTCTAGATTATTGATCTTGCTGGAGTCTGTCATTCTACATTCGGTTTCAATTGCCGATCAGCTAGTTGGACCACTGCACTTGACCTCACAGTCATTACATGGAATTTGATGGATTAGATTATTTTGCTTAACTGGTTCGATCGAATGCTTAAGCCAGCCGACAAAGCTTATCTCTGAGTTAGTTTGTAGGTTTAAATGCCGCCCTAATTCCAGGTTTGTTGAGAATCCTACGTAAAGTTTCTGATGTGACTTCCTTATAAGGTAACATATTGGAGGCGGTGAACTACTTTCTACTCGTGTTGTCGTTATTAGTCGTACTCAGATTATTGTTATTATTTCGTTACTTATGTGTTTGTATAAATTTTTAAATAAACTGTAGAGGATAATCATTAACTACTGGTGCTTATTTTATGCGTTTCAGTTCTTTGTTTGGGTCTTTGCACTGACTAGTCAGTTTTCTAGCTCTATCATTTAGACATCTGATTAAACTTGCCTTAACTGACATTGGATGAGATGACTTAAAGTCTAGATGTCTGTTGGAATGTGTCGGTTTTCTGCAGACGGTAGTATCCAAACCGTCACCTGTGATTACATTGATATGATTATGAGCAATAATTTGTGCTCGAAACGTCATCAAGTAAATAATACTGTATCACTGTGTTGTAAATCAAATAAACAAATCTAATATGGAATTACATTCTACTATAGTGTCCAAGTTTTACACCTATATTATAACATAACATGCTCGAAATCTGCAGAAATGAATGGAGATTTGAAATCCAGGATTAACATTAAGGTAAATAGGCCAAGAAAACAGGAATATTAGTAACAAATCTTAGTCAAAATCAATGGCAATTTATATCTGATGAGACGGAGAATTCTGGGGCTGTAGCGTGTGGACAACAAACGAAAAACAGTGTAAAAGAAGGGACTATTTAAGAGCTAACATGTTACATAACTACGCGAAAAAATTGAAAATCGTTAAGTGATTAACAGACAGTAAGTTATTCATAAAGAGATGATGCAATCAAAAGAAAAGGGACGACTATATGCATTTGCGTGCGAAAACTTATACAGTTACCAAGGTAAAGAAAGGTTAATTATAGTCTCTTTGTGAGTACATATGTCAGGTTGAAAATGTTTGATGGTGAGAGCTTCCAAAACCACAACAAACATGGTATCCTTTGTATGTCGATTGTCCTGAAGGATTGAGGAATATCTGTTTAAGATCTTGTTTTCACCAGGTGCCTGACGATTACCTTGTGAAAGACTGTACTACCATTCAGATACAGATTTCTCGGAACATGCTCATGAAATCGAGTAGACGCACTTCTTCTGGTCCACCTTGAATACTTGCTTCCACAAGCACATGTGCATTGATACACACAATTGGAGGTGATGTGAGATGAGTATTTGTCTACTTTCGACTGTGTTATTGAGTTAAGTGTAGTGTAAACTGAGATCAATCTGGCATCAGGGAAGCTCCTTCTCAGTGGAGCTTTCATTCTCCTGTTTATTCTTCCGATATCTCATCACCTTTGAATGGTAGACGAAGGAAAGCAGTCTTTTTCTCAGCAGTTGAATGTTTTTGTCTCTCGCTAACTTCTTTTCTGTGCTTCGTGATGAATTTCTTGTGATATGCATTCAGTATAACAGCCTTCTCAATTAAACCGAATTTTTCTTTTTCTTGTTTATCTTTTGAGCACAGCGTTTTTATTCTAGTGATTAGCGTCCTGACTAAAACATGCTTATAGCTAACAGGAAAGAAACCATTGTAGTGAACGTACTCACCCACTCACGTGTCTTTTCTGTGGGTAGTTTACTCAACTGTACCATCATATCTCCGTCTCATACTTAGATAGAAAAATTGAATCCATCCTCATAATTGTATTCCATTGTAAAATTAATATTCGGATGAGCTTAGTTTAAGGTTTCGAACAACTTTGATTCATGATTCATATTATCACCAACAATGAAAGTATCATCAAAATACCTGCAGTATTATGTCGGTTTCTTGATCGCAGAGTTCAAACTTGTTGAGCTATGAATGAATAAGCTAGAATAGGTTCTAGAGGTGAACTTATAACCACTCCATCAGTTTGCACTATATTTGCCTATTAAACTGGAAATGAACACCATTTGTACAGGAGAGCACTAATTGTTTGAGTTCTCTTTTTGGCAACGGTAGTAGGTCAGACGGTTAACAGATTATGTCTATCGTTTCATCCACTGGTACGTTCGTAAACAATAAGGAAATATCAGATGATACCATGAACTTATCTGAGATATTTAATTGATCCAATTCTTCAGAGAATTGGGATGTATCCCTCAAGCTGTGATTTGTGAACCTTTTTCTGGTGGATTCCAATTTCTTTGCTAATCAACGAGCCAATATGTGACAACATGAATTTACCATGAATAAAACGGGTCTCAAAGTGACACTGGACTTATGAATTTCCTAAAGGTTATATATGAAGGGCAGCCGTGAACCTCTTGATTTACGTTCGTTATGGGTTGCTCCGTCAATCAATTACCTTCTCAACAGTTTGCTGAAGTGCTTGCTTCCTTTGTTTTCAGTTGAAACCGTCGCATACTTTTGGTATCTGTCAACTTTAAGACTCGACGAGTCCTACAAAATCATCATTTTATGCAAGTAGTCATTTTTATACATTATGAAGACACCGGGCCCCTTATCAGCTCTAGCTATAACAACTTCGCCATTCTTGTCCAACATTTTCGGCGTCGACATATACTACTTAGTCAGTACCGTTGATTGGTGATATAGAGATACGCAAAACTGATTCGCAATATTGATCAGCTTAGATTTAAACCAGCTTCTTCTATTCTCATCTATAGGCATCAAATCACGAAGTTGTAGGTATAATTTCCAAATTTTGTTTGTGCATCAGTTCGACTAATGCGTTCGATTAAGGCATGAGATTTAAATCCAAGAGACAGAGCTACAGACTGCATCCCACTTAGTTCGATACTGAAGAGATTGCATGTATACTTCTTTGGGTTTTCAGGAAATCCTTCGTGCAATTTCTTTCTCGTCAGGGAATTTGTAAGTTCATTCCTACAGCTTCTATACATCTTCAGCTGTAGGTCATGAATAAAACTAGTGAACTTTACGCGACAAACGATATTCAGGTCATCGAGAAGGCCACCAGACATGTCTGAAAAGATGTCCATCCAACTACTACTACTATTACTACTACTACTACTACTACTACTACTACTACTACTACTACTACTACTACTACTGGCAATAATAATAATAGTAATAATCAGGGTGTAGGTTTACTAAAGAAGTAGATCCGGACTTTCAACACCAGCGTCAGTCAAGTCAGTGCGTCTATATGATGGTTCAGAGACTTGGTGCATTACGAAAAGCATTTCCAACAAACTACAGACATTCATCAACACCTGCCATCTACGCTCACTCGATACTGAAGATCATATGGATGGTCAGAAAGAATAAGCAAGGAGGAATTCTGGCTGGCTGGTAACGAACCCTACAACAACCTATCACCCAACAAATATGAAGAGGAAGAAAGTGGAGATGGATTGGGTTGAACATACACTGAGAAGACTGTTTGAGGACATCACGTGCCAGGTCAGGCCAGGTGAGGCCGTCGAGTGGAACCGAAATGGGAAACGATGAGTTGGGCATCCGATGTGAGGGTGACATGGAGGAGATGGTGTGAGGAAGAAATGAAAGGTTGTGGATAGTGGTGGAGGCGTGATAAAAAGACTGCAGAGAAGAGAGTGAAATGATGACATGCTATTGGAACTGAATGTTCCACGAGGAACCTAAGGGACAAGTAATAATGATAGATGGCATAACTGCTGTTGTTTTTCGTAATCATTTTGTTTGTTTCCATATTACTTAACTTTCGTTTGTGATATAGTTTATATTGGCCTTCAACAAGGAATCACTCTAGAATATATATTCATGAGTATGTAGGTAGAAGAATGATTTCTTCGAAAAGTAAACCTTTCTACAATCCAATCGTCTTTTTTTTTAATATGTTTAAATGAGATTGTTTCGATATTTTGCAGAGCATATTATTATCATTAGTCTTAGCCGTAGTATTAGTTGCAATCAAATGAAAATGGTAAATTTTGCATGATATCAACCTGAATTGTTGTCTAATATTCAATATTCTGCTCTTATTTTTACCGTAAACTATGAATTTTATTTTATTTTCAGCTGTTAAAATAATTCTTTGACACTAACTAGCCTTACACAAAACAAGATCTATTTATGTAGATTGAGTTATTTCCTACTTTTCATAATTCATTTTGATCAGTTAGTTTAGGTATTGTGTTTGATATCAGTTTTTTCCTACTTCTCTTATCACTAACGTATTGTAAACTAAATAAACCTTTTTATACACTTGAATATAAGTTGTTATAATCTAACCCTTTTTGTTTGAAACTGAAATCTTACTACTGATAACTTTTAAAGGTATATATTTAAGTAGTTACCAGAAAAGTAAACGCATCCATATGGGACTTTCAGTAGTGGAGACAAAGTAAGTACACCCGTCTAAAAGGCATTGAATTCAACCACTTTTTCTTTAAATCACTGTCAGTTTACAGATAAACAATGATAGTATAGCAGCAGGAAATTATAAGTATCAATCAACAATAACAACTGATACCCATTATACAAGAAGTAGCTGTCGTGCTCCAATGGTCTAGTGGATAACACTTCAGTATTTGAAACGACAGGTACGAGATGCAGATATATCTAGTTGGTGAGTTTTAAATAAGCTGAAATGCGTGTTATGAATTCCCGCTGTCAACCACCTAGTGAACTCGAATGAAGCTATGATACATTAGGTTTCCACAGTATAATCAAGAAGATAAATTCAACAGGTCGATCTGGTACAACTTTCGTTCTATAATAGTTAATTTCATAGGAATTCACTGCTTCGATATATATCCAAAACACTGTAATAAATTACATATTGATGATGGCTAGTGGCTAGTAGTGGAATCCAGGACATGCGTTTCATTCTATTTAGGACTCGTCAGCTGGATGTACCTCTCCTTCTCTGCGAACGGTGTTATTCCCATTATTCAATACTAACAGTTTAGTAATTTGCATTTTTCTTTAAATTTGTCCCTATCGTTGTAGATTTCTTAAACTGTATGATGATGACGATGAAAGTAGATTTCGAAGACAAGGGAAATTGGTAAAACTTGAAGTAGTTTTCGCTTAAAATTTTTATTTGAATGTATAAACCTTATTCTGTTCACATTCCTTTACGAAACTTGATTATTTTGTAAACTATCCTTTCACTAATCGAATCTTCTATGTCCAATGATTAGTGTAGAGTTGGATTGTTGATGCTATTTGGTACTTCATCGTAAAATTTATTTACAACCCTTTCAAGGCGGTCATTTTAGTAGAAACATCAAAGAGTTTTGTATCGTACTTTACAATTCTGTTCTACTATAAAAGGGTGAAAGATGTATTAGTTAAACATAGCTTTTTGTCTTATACCTTGTTAAGAATTTTTAAGAACTTATTTCCCACTTTAGTCAGTTGCTAGTACCAACTAAAAAGGGAAAAAAGAACAACAACGCCTTTCGAGTTAGTCTATAAATGATGACTGATATGGTTGTCAATTCCTCAGTGTTAACTGAAGTTTTTTAACAATAGTCACTAAGCTATGGGATGATAGGATACCCTATTCGATTCACTTTTAGTACTGGATCATATGAATCAATCTACGAGAAGTCAATAGTTTACTACTACTTGTTACAAGTTAGACTAATGACCCTCAAAATGATTAATTCAAGTACATCACTCACTCTTTCAGGTGGTAAGTTACTTTGATTAGCTACTTGGTGAAGTCTTCCACTGTATTAGATAATTCACATTAATAAAACTGTAATCCCAATGAAGAAAGTAACGTTTGAGACCACTATTTTTAGACTCTATAGGGATTCACTCAATCATAAGAATGAAATTCTTGGAATTAAACAGTGATGGCAGCTATTTAGGACGTTAACCCTAATTGTTATTGTTATTATTATTTTCCCCTTGGATTCCTAGTGCAACATACGGCTTCAGTAGCACGCCTCCATTGCACTCTCTTCTCTGCAGTCCTTTCAACATGGCACCACAACCGCCCACAACCTTTCATTTCTTCATCACATCATCTCCTCCATGTCATCCTCACATCGGATGCCCAACTCATCGTTTCCCGTTTCGGTTCCACTCGAAGGCCTGGCCTGGCACGTGATGTCCTCAATCGGCTTTTTTGTCAATGTCCGATCCATCTCCACTTTCTTCCTCTACATATTTGTTGGGTGATAGGTTGTTGGAGGGTTCGTTACTAGCTAGCTAGCTAGCCAGCCAGCCAGAGTTTCTCCTTGCTTATTCTTTCCGGCAATCTATCTGACCTTCAGTACCGAGCCAGCGTGGGCAGCAGCTGTTGATCAATTTCTCCACTTTGTTGGAAGTCCCTTTCGTGATACGCCAACTTTCCGAACCATATAGCAACACTGACTTGACTGATGTTGGTATTGAAAATCCACATCTTGTTCACACTTTGTGCTGAGTGCAGTAGATCTCCACACTGATTTCAGAATAATGAAGGGAGGCCTGTCCTGCTGTCTTTCCGATAGTGGCTTTGACATCCTCGTATGTGCCGCCTCCTGTAGTTGAAATGATGCTGCCTAGATACGTGGGTGGGTGAGTGGGTGGAAGAGACTACTTCCTTTAGGTTTCTCCCGTTCATGCTGACTGGTGATTGTTGTTACTGGTAGTAGTGTTGGTTGGGTATCTTCATCACCTCCGTCTTCTCTACATTCATTTGAAGTCCCGTCTTGCTTCGCTGCCTCGCCTTTTCTGTCAACTTTTTAGTTTTCACCTGTAGTTCTTTGAGTTTGTGCGACATTAATCATGAATCATCATCGTTGGAGAAATTCGAATCTGCTATGCTCTTTTTATAGGTTGAGCTCCTCACGGTTTGCTGCATGGTCCAGTCCACCACAATCAGGAAGATTATGGGTGACAGTAGGCTGCCTTGTCTCATTAACCCTAATTTTGTACTTTAATTCTGTTCCGTACAATTTGTAGATTTTCTGTGTGTTTGTATATGGACAAGGGAAATATTTTTGAGCTGGGATTCATCACGGTGTGACATCATTTCGAGAAACATTGGAAACATGAGGGTACTGTTTAGTCCAGGTACGGGACTTTTGAGCAGCGAGTATCTATAACTCCTCGAAGGATCAAATCAAGGACCGTCAGGTCTGGTGACAAGCACGTTACCAGTGAATCACTGGGTCGGAATCTGATGGTTCATATTTCTTACTTCTATCAGTTTACAATAAAGCGCGACCGTCATTTAGTGCCATCGTTGAGTATTTGCCCTCATGTCCTACCCTATGGCTTAATGGTAATGGGTGTGTCGTGAAACCCAAAGTTTCTGGGTTTTAGCCCTTGCAAAGTCATAGGTATGCACTAATGGGAAGTCCCGTGCTTGGACAAAACAGCTATCTAGTGCTCTCAGGTTTTCCATGTTTCTCTAATATGTCAGTGCATGTCGAATGCCAACTTGATTACTAGTTAGTTTTTGACAAAAATTTTGATTTAACCATTCTGGTAGTTTGAATCTTGTCACAACTATGAATCAACCAGTCAATATCTGTTTTTTCCCAAAAATTTTCTGTCTGATCTCCTTCCGTTGCGTAATCTACATTAGAATATGCTTTTAAAAAATTGAAGTTTAATATCCTATGGAGTCATGGGTGCTCACTGATTGAAGAACGGGCTATAGTTTGAAATCATTCTACGGCTGGTATCATTAAATAAGGAGAACTGTATTCAAACCTGTATGTCACTTCAAGACGCAATATTGGTTGTGTTTTTCCTGATATTCAAGCATTTCTTTGAATAACTGAACAAAAGTATGTAATCTTTCTGATGAATAGTAGGATTTACGCTTTCTTGAATACGCTGTTATGTAAAGCGAACACTGAAATGAAATGGCCTTCAATAGACTTCAATATAATGAATACCTGAAAAGTATCAAGGCATCCAAATAGGAGCCTGTCTGCCAACGGAGTTTCGAGCGGTTCGACCCATTATCGCAACAGGAAGTTATAAGTATTACAAAACAATAAATGATAGCCGTTGCACAAGTGGCGGATCTCTAACCCTAGTGGATAACTCTCTTGCGTTTGAAGCGATAGGTACTTGACTAGAGTCTCAATGGAAACACCATCATTCACTGTAGTGCAGATATGTCCCGCTGGTGGGTCCGAAATAGGACTAAACGCGCATCCTGGATTCCAAGTAGACTCCAATCTAGGTTTATTTCATTTTTAAAGTCTCGTTTTTTTGCTTTGATAAAAATTATTCCAGAAAAATGTTGAATCGAGATACAATGTGTTTACGAATTGTTGAGTAGTCGGTGACAAATGTATTTCCCTCATACTAAATAATGATTGATCTGACAGTATACAAAATTGCACAAAAGAAGTCCAGTGATAGTAGGTCATCCAAGTTTAGTATTAGAGACAGGGTACCCACCGATCCACCGACCTTTTATCAGCTATTCGTTTTCAAATACTCGATATCTAGTTATATGGGTCTTCTCAATCGGTTGCATTACCCTGTTTACAAGTTTTAGCTCATTTAATATGTGATAGTAAATTATTGACTATTCTGTCAACTTTTCAAACATCATTCATAATGCTTATGAAGTTAACTAAATTCAGTTTTGTGAGAAATCATTATATGGTTAAGTCAGCTATGTTATACTACTAACAGAAATGAGTAGTTGTAGACCGCTCGCATCGATCAGAAGTGCTGGGTAGACAGATGAAAGTGACCTAATTACTGAACTGCCGTTTCACCCATTTGTGACCGATTTCATCAATAGTGTAGTCGGATAGTTTCACCTTAGAACGACAAATTGTTTAAACCACCCGAACTGTAACTAGTCAACCTCTGATTTGTTTGAATTAACTTTATATATTAATCACTCAATATTTTGTCAGTGTACAACTCAACAATGTAAAACTTCTAATTTACTTCAGCCAAGAAGTAAACTTGATGATCTATTTCATCAAGAAATGGAGAAACATAATCGATGTGATATGAAAAAAGGATGCTTAATTAAAATTGACGATTCTAGTAAAAAATATGATGAAATTTTAGAAGAATTAAAAAGTGAAGAACAAAAATTGAATAAGTAAGTTTCTCTAAATAATTTTCATTCTGTAAAATAAAGGTATAAAGTTGTATTTCAATATGACATTAGTGTTGACATTTAATGATAATGATAATGAATATCATTGTTGCTTTATTCGATCCAGTTGTTCGACCTCTATTGGCATATGGGCTGCTTGCTATATGGATGTCTCGATATTGCCTGAATGTTAAATGTGACAATTCGGTCGGTTGTGGCTAACAGTGGAATCCTAGACGCGCGTCCCGTCCTACTTAAGACTCGTCAGCTGGATTTACCTGAACCTTAGCGTGTCGTTCCGACCGGGACCCCTCGCTTCAAACGCTAACGCGCAATCCACTATACCACGTAGGGATCTCCTGGCGTTTTATTGGATCGAATTGTTCGACCTGTGTGAATACTGTTCACAAATTATACTTCTGAGTATATTTCACCTCCATTTTGCACCTATCAGATGCAACACTAGTCTGCAGCTATTCTTATGAGTTGACCATTTTGCTTACTTATGAAGTTGTATCAACCCTATAAAGTTACTCCCTGGCAAGATGTCAACTTGGATATGTGAAAGGTGCGTTTGACATTTGTCAATACACGCCATCTCTACTGCTGTTGCTGGGAAGACATATGACTACCTGTTTAAGAAAGATTATAACGCGCTACAGTCCCCTTTACCCTATTAGATGGTTGTAAGACAGCTGTTGAAAGTAAAACATACTAGGAGGTTACATGTTTGTGACGTTAGATGTATCTGCACCATTGCTCATTCATAGCGGAATCACCAAGTGAGCACCGGCCACTGGGCAAGGAAATTAAGTCACTAGTTAGAAAAACATTGATAATTTGGGAACACTGGACAGCTGCTTCATCCTAATGTGCACCCATGACCCTATTATGATAGTTCCAGTGAGAAGTTGTGACCGATAAGGCCAACCAAGTCGAATATGAAGACAGTCACCCAACGACGACATTGGGTGGAGGTCGTGAACTGACAGAAGTAGGAAATATAGACCACTGGATTCCGACCCAGTGGCTCAATGATAATGTACTGGCTGCGGGACCTAAAATTCATGAGTTTGATCTTTAGTGGGATCGTGGACGCGCATTGCTGGACGTGACAGCTGTTGAGTACTCCCAGGTTCCCAGTGTTTCTCCCAACTGATGTCAGTCCCCGATGAATACTAGCTGGAAACCAATAAACTCCCGCGAAACCTTGAAAGTGAAAGTAAGTCAGTCGATGAGAATATGAATCTCCACCGACTGAGGTGGTTTTGTGTGGGTAACACATGTCCAAGCCACCACCCACCTTGATGTGCAATGTAAGCAGAGGTAGAATTGCGTTAGGAGAAGACCTAGGGTGACCAGACCAAGATGGCACTAGTCGATGAAAATTTGACCATTGGCCTAGTGTGTGCATTGGGGTGTAAACTACCTGGTCGAGATCCTTAAGACAATAAAAAACAATATTTGAAGACCCTTGGTAACATTTTTGAAAACCGATCACAATAGGCCAAATGTATTCATTGTTTTAACGGTTTCAATAACTCACTTTTCAAGTTCTTTTTCCTCTGACATACGTTTGTCTACTTTGATATCACTCTTTTTCTACCTCACTTGTTCTTCACATGTTCCTATAAAATGTGTCACCTTGGATCGATGCACTTCTTTTTGAGTATCTAAGTTGGTTTAGTCCTGTCTTTTCTTAGTGGAGTGTATTTCCTCTGAAAGGTGAAAAAAGGGTGATCAGAGTGAGAAATGATTAATGCGTTTGATCATAAATTAAAATCTGTGCTCAATTACTAAAATTTCTCAGATGCCGGAGGTCAAGAATTGAAAAACTAAAGGATTTGATTCAAAACAGCGTATAATGATGCAATTACATTTAGTCCTTATCCATCTGAAAGTATTCAATCCTGTATAGCTGACTGATTCTGTGTTTGTTCAATTTGTCTTTTTGTTATTTTTATTCGCTCTTGTATTTCTCTTAGTAGAAGTGATCTAAAAGTCTGTTTTATGTATGGTAGAGGTTTCAATAACATTGTTTATTCGTTTGACTATCTGAGATAGCCGTAGTTTGGTAGACTTGGATTGATACTGCCTAGTAATTGAAAGGGAAATGTAAGTCTATACAGCGGTGGGATTCAAAACAGCGACCTATGGATTACCTACTCGGTGCTTTTTCAGTTAAACTATGAAGCCCAACTGCTGACTAGGTCTTAATTTTGCTCTAGACACCAAGGATATCGTCCAACTGAGTTACTATCCCTTGATCATATTCACATTGGCTACCCAGTCACGACTTCTCACCCCAATCCAAATCAACCTGAATTAGAAAGGGGGAGCATCATATTGATTATCAGTTTGGCTACATGAGATAGCTGTGGTTTGACAAATTTGTATTGATACTGTGTGATGATTGAAGGCCAGTAACCTAGGGGTCGCTGGTTGGAATCCTGCTGTAGCCCTGATTTTCATTTCACCTTGACTTACCGCTCAATATCAATAACATTCTTGTTATAGTCTTCATTGTACATCGAAGCGTTTTAAGATGTTCAACTCGAATATTTACATCTTAAGTCACAGATATTTCTAAATATTTGGATGTCTTTCAATTTTTGTTGTGTGTTTTGTGACAATATAGGCAAATCCACTTTTATGTAACGTTCTTATTCATGTTTAATTCCTGTCTGTCTTAACTACGCTACAAAATAAATTTTTTCCCCAATTAGAAATTGTTGACAACTCATAAAAATGATGTGAATTATGGAATTATCACCAAGAGCTTCATTGATAAACAAGCTTCACCTTCTGATAATTATTATGGATAGTGGCTCGTAGTGGAACCCAGGATACACCTTCCTTCCTATTTGGGACTCATCAGCTGGGTGTACATCTATCTCAGAGTGAGTGATGTTGCTCCCGCTACGACTCGAACCCCGGGATCGATCACGTCAAATGCCAGAACGTTATCAACTACACCGTTGAGTTACGATAGCTACTTCTTATGCGATGGGCATAATTTATATGATGTTGATTGTATTATCTTGTCGTTGATTGGTCGGAATTGATCGGTCTCTATAGGTATATGGGCTCCTGTGTGGATGCCAATACAGACCTATCAATTTGTTCCAGTCAACGATAAGATAATACAATCAACATCATATAAGCTTTACCTTCTTTTTCAGATATACTTAAAGCCTACGTCATAAGTTATTAGCTCACAACTAAGCCACTTGATAGCACTTTTTTTGTTAATGAACTAAATAAAAATCTATTCAGAAGTGAAGCGAATGCCAGCTGAATACTTCGGTAGATGGTTCCAGTATATCATGAAATGACAGAGGTAGAAAACTGTGCATCATTAAACTCCACTTCAGTAGGTGAATGGTTAATGTGTTTACCATGAAACTTGAAGGTCTTGAGTCCAATCCCTGAAGGGATCGTTAGTGTGCATTTCTGTGGTATCCCATACTAAGACGAAACAACTGTCCAGTACTACCATTTTTTTCAATGTTTCTTGAGTTCGTGGTGAATAATGCCTTAAAACTAAGTATTTGTTTTAACTAGATTGCTTTTCAGTGATATTACAACAAAATATTTTTCAATATGAACTTCATTTATTAAACTTATCGTTTAGATTAAAGTTACAGTCATTTAACAGTCAATACAAACTGAATGAGATTGTATTATGGAATACAGGAAATGATATGGTGATTGATGATAAGAATAGTAAGTTGAAAAATTCATTGGTTCACGTGAAATGATGGTAGTTTTGTTTTATTTAAAATCTCTGTTTTTTATGTTAAGTATTCTAAAGGTTAAACCTCGCCTGGTTAACTAGTTTACTAGTTACTAGCCGGTCCTAAGCCCGGGTAAAGAGGGAAGGTTGGGCATAGGGCTAGCAACCCTACCCCGTAAAACAAATCTAACCGCTAAAGAAACTTCAAAGCACAAACAAAATATAAAAAATGAAAACAAACTTATTCCCCGCTGGAATCGGAGAGGCGAAATGACGCCAGTTGGTGAAAGCCTTCGGGAAGCCAATTGGCCGATGTGTCTTCTCTCGATGAAAGCGAAAGTAAACGTGGGGACATGGAATGTCCGCACGATGTTTGAACCCAGTAAGGCAGCCCAGATTGCAAAGGAGATGAGAAGGTATAACATCGAAGTGCTTGGGATTTGCGAAAGCAGATGGAATGGGAGTGGACTCTCCAAACTGTCAACTGGAGAATCAATAATCTACTCCGGTCACCCAGACGCCAACCACGAGCACACTGAGGGAGTGGCTATCATGATGTCCTCAAGAGCATCGAAGGCTCTCATGCAGTGGGAACCAATCTCCTCCAGGATCATGACAGCAAGATTCAACTCAAAAGGAAGAAAGGTCACAATCATACAATGTTATGCACCTACAAATAATGCAGAGCAAGAGAAAAAGGAGGATTTCTACAGACAACTTCAATCAACACTGGACAAGACGTCAGTTGGCGATATCAAAATTCTAATGGGCGACATGAATGCCAAACTGGGAGGGGACAACACGGGAAGAGAACTAACCATGGGTCGAGAGGCGCTAGGTGAAATGAATGAGAATGGAGAATTGTTTGCAGAATTCTGTGCATTCAACGATTTGGTGATTGGAGGCAGTGTGTTCAGGCACAAGGATATCCACAAAGCGACATGGACTTCACCAGATGGACACACTAAAAATCAAATCGACTTTATCTCAATCTCAAGAAAATGGAGACGCAGTCTACTTAACACAAGGTCAAGAAGAGGAGCAGATGTAGGTTCAGACCACTATCTAGTGCAAGGAACCTTCCAAATCAAGTTAAAAGCCTTCAAGGAAGCTGGTGATAGACCTCAATTCAAGTACAACACTCGGAAACTGAAGGATGAAACTACAAAGGAGATCTTCAAGGCAGCCATCAAGACAAAATGGGAGACGTCGAGGGACATCCCTGAAGAAACCTGTGTAGAAGAACACTGGAAGTCTTTGAAAGCTATGTGGAAAGAAACCTGCACAACAGTATTAGGAAGGAAGAAGAAAGAAGACAAGGAATGGATCTCGACGGATACCTGGAAGCTGATAGAGGAGAGGAGGATGGTGAAGCAGAAGATAAACCAGTGCAAGGATGCTCAACGACAAGAGGAACTGAGCACAATGTATAAAACACTGGATAAAGAAGTGAAGAAGAGTGCACGCAAAGACAAAAGACACTTCTACGAACACTGGCAAGTGAAGCAGAACAGGCTGCAGGTAAGAGAGACCTGACGACATTGTATCAAATAACCAGGTTGCTATCAGGGAAGAGACCAACACAGATGAAACCAATAAAAGATGAAGAAGGAAATTTAATTACAAAAGAAGAGAAACAGAGGAAACGATGGGCCGACCACTTCAAGAAGCTCTTGAATCGACCACCACCTGCACTTCGTCCAGAAATACCACCTGCAGCCGCTGAATTACAAGTGAACATAAATCCCCCAACGAAAATGGAAGTCCTGAACGCCATAAAGCTACTGAAATGCGGGAAAGCAGCAGGACCAGATGGAATACCGCCAGAAGCACTGAGAACAGATGCAGAGACAACAGCGGACATGCTCACACCACTATTGCAGAAGGTGTGGAAGGAAGAGAAGGTACCTGACGATTGGAAGAAGGGTTACCTTGTCAAACTGCCGAAGAAGGGAGACCTCAGTGCTTGCAAGAACTGGCGCGGAATCACTCTCCTATCCACCCCAAGTAAAATATTAAGCCGCATCATCCTGGAGAGGCTTAAAGACGCACTGGATTCAAAACTGCGACCGGAACAGGCAGGCTTCAGGAAGTACAAATCATGTGCTGACCAAATTGCAACGCTTCGTATCATCATAGAACAGAGCGTAGAATGGCAATCAGCTCTATACCTCAACTTCATCGACTTTGAGAAGGCCTTTGACAGCGTCGACCGAGAAGTAATTTGGAAACTGCTTCAATACTACGGAGTACCGCAAACCTTTATCCGCCTCATTCAACAACTATATGAAGATGCCACATGCCAAGTAATCCACAATGGGAAGCTCAGTGATGCCTTTGAAGTGAAGACAGGAGTGAAACAAGGTTGCCTACTATCCCCCATGATATTCCTTATTGTGGTGGACTGGATCATGCAGCAAACAGTAGGCAGCGAGAAGAGGGGGATACACTGGACGACGGAAAAGAACCTAGAAGACTTGGATTTCGCCGATGACTTATGCCTAATGTCACATAAACTTGAAGATCTGCAGGCAAAAACTAACAAGTTGACAGAAGAGGCAGCTAAGACGGGACTTCAGGTGAATATAGAGAAGACAGAAGTGATGAAGATACCGCACCACCACCATCAACAACAACAACAAACTCCAATCACCGTCAACGGGAGAAACTTGAAGGAAGTAACCTCCTTCACTTATCTAGGAAGCACTGTTTCAACTACAGGCGGGACGGACGAGGACGTCAAAGTCAGAATCGGAAAAGCAAGACAGGCGTTCATTAGCCTGAAACCAGTGTGGAGATCTTCTGCACTCAGCATGTGGAACAAGATACGGATTTTCAACACCAACGTCAAGTCAGTGCTCTTGTATGGCTCAGAGACTTGGCGCGTCACGAAAGGCATTTCCAATAAACTACAGACATTCATCAACAACTGCTTACGCTCGCTGCTGAAGATCAGATGGCCAGAAAAAATAAGCAACAAGGAACTCTGGGAACGAACCAACCAAGAACCTATCACGCAACAAATATGCAGGAAGAAGTGGAGATGGATTGGCCATGCACTGAGAAGGCCGACTGAGGACATCACGCGTCAGGCCCTCGAGTGGAATCCCCATGGGAAGCGACGAGTTGGACGTCCGAGGGTGACATGGAGGAGGTCATGCGAGGAGGAAATGAGAGGCTTTGGGCTGTCGTGGAACCAGGTTCAAAAGATCTCAGAGAACAGAGGTCACTGGAGGCGTGCTACTGAAGCCCTATGTTCCACTAGGAACCCAAGGGACTAATAATAAAAATAATAATAAATTCTAAAGGTTAACTAGTTTAAAACATTTATATACATTTATCATTTTGAAACAATGAAAGATAGAAAGTTGTTGCAATGAGGGATTTTTTCTTAGAAGTAGTTTTTTCTAGAAATATCTGTAACTACTAGTGGTACCTTTAAGGAAAATGAAGATAAGAGACGTTGACTGAATTCTAAACTGGTTGGTATCTATCATTAATCAGTACTAAACAGTTGAAAATCTTTACCAATGATATAAACTTGACATTGAAAAAACTACACATAGATGAAGATATCGTCATGTTCAGATTTGATAAAAGATGTGGTAAAGAAAACTGATTTTGTGAATAAGATATTGACAATTCTAAGGCACTCAAGGGGATTTTAAGTGGATGTTACTATAAAAGATGTAGCAATAAAGTTTGAAAATAAAGTACATAAACGTCTTAAAAGTTCGTTTTAAGAAGAAATTGAATGATTATGCAACATAATATAATGAACGTAAACCAAATGGTTCATATCTTCCATTCATGTATTGCTTACTTGAAATTCATAAATCTCATGTACCCCTTTGAGACAGGTATTGTCTATGATTAACTCAGTCACAAGTTGAGTAAATAGTTGGCGAAATCGTTACAGTCTATCCGGAGTTGTTCATGGGTTCACCTTTAGGATCTGTCCTGCGTGTAAAGACAAAAGATACTTCTACGACACATTGGCGAGTGAAGCAGAACAGGCTGCTAATAGGAGAGACCTGACAACATTATATCAAATAACCAGGTTACTATCTGGAAGCGATAAACGCAGATGAGACCAATGAAAGATAATGAAGGGAAGCTAGTTACCAAAGAGGAGAAACAAAGGAAACAACAGGCTGACCACTTTAAAAAGCTCTTGAATCGACCACCACCTGCAACTCGTCCGGAAATACCACAAGCAACGGCAGAACTATCAGTGAACACAGGCCCTCCGACAAAATCAGAAGTCGTGAATGCCATAAAACTGCTGAAATCCGGGAAAGCAGCAGGACCAGATCGAATTGCTCCAGAAGCACTGAAAACAGACACAGAGATAACAGCGGAGATGCTCACACCACTACTGCAGAAGGTTTGGAAGGAAGGAAAGGTACCTGCCTATTGATTGGAAGAAGCGTTACCTTGTCAAAATCCCAAAGAAGGGAGACATAAGCCATTGCAAGAACTGGCACGGAATCATGCTGGTGCCCACCCCAAGCAATATATTATGCCACATCATCCTAGAGAGATTAAAGGATGCGCTGGATCCTAAATTCGACCGGAACAGGCTGGCTGCCTGGTTTCAGGAAGAACATATCATGTGCGGATCAAATTGCAACATTATGCATCATCATAGAACAGAGTATAGAATGGCAGTCAACTGGATCTTTACCTCAACTTCATCGACTTTGAAAAGGCCTTCGACAGTGTCGACCGAGAAGTAATTTTACAAGCAGCTGCTTCAACACTACGGAGTGCAACTAGTCTTTATCAACCTCATTCAACAGCTATATGACGACACCACATGCCAAGTGATCCACAATAGAAAGCTCAGCAACGCTTTTGAAGTGAAGACAAGAGAAAATAAGAAAAGGCTGCCTACTGTCACCCATAATCTTCCTGATTGTGGTGGACTGAACCATGCAGCAGACAACTGTGAGGAGCGAGAAGATGGGCATACGCTGGACTGATGAGAAGACCCTAGGAGATTTGGATTTTGCCCATGATTTATGTTTAATGTCGCACAAACTCAAAGATCTATAGGTGAAAACTAAAAAGTTGACAGAAAAGGCGAGGCAGTGAAGCAAGACGGGACTTCAAGTGAATGTAGAGAAGACGGAGGTGATGAAGATACCCAACCAACACTACTATCAGCAACAACAAGCACCAGTCAACATGAACGGAGAAACCTAAAGGAAGTAGTCTCTTCCACCCACTCACCCACCCACGTATCTAGGCAGCATCATTTCAACCACAGTAGGCGGCACGTACGAGGATGTCAAAGCCACTATCGGAAAGTCAGCAGGACAGGCCTTCCTTCATTATTCTGAAATCAGTGTGGAGATCTACTGCACTCAGCACAAAGTGTGAACAAGATGTGGATTTTCAATACCAACATCAGTCAAGTCAGTGTTGCTATATGGTTCGGAAAGTTGGCGTATCACGAAAGGGACTTCCAACAAAGTGGAGAAATTGATCAACAGCTGCTGCCCACGCTGGCTCGGTACTGAAGGTCAGATAGATTGCCGGAAAGAATAAGCAAGGAGAAACTCTGGCTGGCTGGCTAGCTAGCTAGCTAGTAACGAACCAACCAACAACCTATCACCCAACAAATATGAAGAGGAAGAAAGTGGAGATGGATCGGACATTGACAAAAAAGCCGATTGAGGACATCACGTGCCAGGCCAGGTCAGGTCAGGCCAGGCTTTTGAGTGGAACCGAAACGGGAAACGATGAGTTGGGCATCCGATATGAGGATGACATGGAGGAGATGATGTGATGAAGAAATGAAAGGTTGTTGGCAGTTGTGGTGCCATGTTGAAAGGACTGCAGAGAAGAGAGTGCAATGGAGGCGTGCTACTGAAGCCGTATGTTGCACTAGGAATCCAAGGGGAAAATAATAATAATAATAATCTCCCCAGGCAAATACCTCCATGGACTGTCTCGAATAAGTACGCCTGATTTCAGTCATCAGATGAAATACTTATGACTGTTGGTACGTTGATGAAAACTTTTTTCTCTGTAATGACATGAAGCATGTAACATAATTGTTCAGCAAGCTGAACATTGCTGAGATCAATATTAAATTGACGATAAAATTCGATTATACCAACGAATTCAACGTGAAAAGAATAATAATAATAATAATAATAATAATAATAATAATAATAGAATCCTCATGAACCTTATTCTACATGTACTACACATGCCGATACACCACCACCTACCTCGACGTATCATGCTAGGAGAAGTTGGATTAGGTTGTGTTGTGACGGAATGGGATTACATGAATGGGTATAATGATACTGAGACTCAATAGACACCTCAACCGAATACTGTTACGGCTGATCTCCCTCGGTTTCATCTGCTTCACTGAGCCACGGAGATGTCAGAATACAAAAGACTGGCCTGCAACTGTAGGAACAACAACTTTGTCGGACATATATATATATATATATATATATATATATATATATATATATATATATATATCATAATTAGCCCTCATACAATAGGTGTAGTTCATTGTTTACTTTGTGAGCTTCTGTATGCCGAGAAAAACAAGTAGTAATAACATGTGACGAGAAATCATTTAGCGTATTATAGGTTGGAATTCATTAAGGACTGATGTCATTTCGAGGAACACTGGAAACCTGGGAGTACTGGACAGCTGTTTCGTCCTAGTATGGGACCCCTCAGCAGTGCACACTCAAGACCCCACCCTCCTGGGCTCGAACCCAGGACCTTTAGGTTCTGCAGCCAGCACGTTAGAGCCTCTTCTGTTTCATCTCTGCTAAATCCTTGAAATACATAATGATAGTGTTGTTATAACTATGACTCAATGTTCTTGAGTAGCATTTAAAATTTAAGGTCCTTTATGATCCGTTTCTTTACTAGAACTATAAAAAATACACAGAGAAGCTGAGTAATATTTTAATCTTGTTCAAATATGTTTGATTTGACCTCAACTTATTAGGATATGGACAGTGAAAGTACTTGCCAATGAACCACAGTAATTAAATTGCTTAACTTTGAAATGACATTTAAACATACATCATAAAGCAATGGAGCGAAGCTTGCAATGTACTCATGGTGGTAACATGCTTTTTACAAGAAATCTTACCGCTTATTCTCCTAAAAAAGCGTTTCCTGCTGGTATTATATTTCGGAAACTGCTTGAGCCGCTAAAATTCAATGAACATCAAGTGTAGGCCGCCAATATTAAACAAATTCCCAGTCGATTTCCAAACCAGACTAATTAATGGTGAAGACAAAATGGACGTGGATTGGGGTCAAAAGACCGAAGACAAGAACAAAAGAAAATACATCTGATGTATGCAGATAATTCACTGTTTACGATAAATTTTTGATTGGTTGACCCACCGTCTGTCTATCTGGCTAAATGTGCACGTGATAACAAAAAGTACATTTTCATTGCCCCCCTTTCCCTAGACTAGTCTTTTCTCTCTATTACCTCATCCTCTTATGATGATGGCTTATGAGGGTGAACAGAATGCTTGCGATAAAATATAATAGCAGTTGAGGGAATTTTTCAGAATTCAGTTCAACTATCCAGTGCAAATTGTGTACTTTTTTGGTAGGGGTCAGTGAGTTTTGTGCGTAGCATGGTAACTTGAAAGGCTATCTTAGTAACCGGTAAGATAACCAATCAGGTTTCTCCATTTCGGCTGAAAAGGTAAATTTTCCGTGAAACAAAAGAATTTGATTGGTTATTCCATGTTAGTCTTTGAAGAAAGTCTCCTGTTTAATGGGATATTTATCAAATTTATATTGATGAGAAGAATTCTTATTGATGTGAATATACATATGATAAAGTATCACACGTTGAACAAAAGCAGTCAGATATCCTACTCATTCTGAATACCTAATCTTTTATTTGATTACATTTAGGTAAATATGAACTTTTAAAGAAGTGTGAAGCAAAAATTAATTCTTTGAAGTTAGCCTTGCTGAATACTACCGCTAATTCACCACTTTGCATTGTTTACAAAGCTGGAAAAGATAAGGTACAATATTTAGACAAATTGTTTTATTGTCTTGCTTGTATGTACGCTAATGTGTACTTCTTTATGGTGTGGCACAGAGTTGATGTCTGTGTTTTCTATGTAACCTTATGGTCACTTTGTATATCCTCTGTCATCACTTGTAGTCACTTATAATATTCTTATGGTGACTTGATATAGCCTGAGTTCCGAAACTTCGGAGAAAACGATTATTACGACCAATAGTACAACCTAACAGCCTACGAGCGACACAAGCTTAGTAGACCACGAACGATAAGAACCTCACGCGTAAACGAATCGACTCTAAACGCTAATCAGAACGTCAACTACCACCACAACAATACCACCGATGGGTGAAGACAAGAAGAGAAGACAGACCGTTGACAGACAACTTTTTGCTGTCTCAACAACAGTCAATACAATGGACAGTGATGTTGAATATTTACATTTCTAAATAACCTTGACAACTCTAAATCCACATATGGGTGAAAATAGTTAACAACCAATGACAGCTGTGCCTTGACAGCAGAGGAAAGAAAAACTAGCAACGGTGTGAAAACAGCCATGTAGGTTATTTTAAGGTCATGGGTAAAACAGCAAGTAAAGCGATGCAAAATTAGGGGTATATAGCAACGGTTGATTGACAAAGGTTTCAGGTACTTATGGCTTTCTATGAAGGTTTTGGTAATCTTATTCCACAATACAACGGCGCAGATGTATCCAGACTTTATCTTAACTACTATACTGAGTTTAACATTTTCTCTTTCTTTTCTTTCATTGCTTTCTACTACCTTTGACCAATTCATCTTTCATTTTATTGTTTTGTTACTTGATGGGCTGATACGAAGTGTGGCAAGTTGAACCATTAAGCAGTAAAGCCTGATTCTATCTTGATATTCATAAGGATAACAATGATGTCAACCAACCTTCTGTCTTAACTTTTGTAAGCAAATAAAAACTGCATAGTCAACAGAAGTATAACTTGCGTAAAGTAACCTTTTTATATGTGCCTCAAGGTTTCAGTAGTACAGATAATTGCACACCTTATCTTCATCTACATCATTATAAAGCTTATTTCCATGTATTTTATCTCCTTTCATCTCCTTTTCTTTTTGTCTTATCCCACTTTAATCTTAGTGGTAGTGTTATTTTCACTTCTGTACCTTATATCTTGTTTATTTTATTAATTTAACCATTTTGATTTCTTCCTCTTGTTAAATGACTCATTTTGATTATCATTTTGACTAACTGAGACAGCCGTGGTTTGGCAGACTTGCAGTATTTATACTGGGTGGTGATTGAAGGTGAAATGAAAACTTGGATGAAGGCCGGATTCGAACCAGAGACCACCGGTTTTTTGGCCCACTGCCCCGTCAATTGAGCTACGAAGTTTGGCCGCGGTCCAAATATTTGAACCTCGTAGCTCAGTTGGCAGAGCATGGAACTGGAAACCCGGTGATCGTTGGTTCGAATACAACCACGCTCCAAATTTTTATTTCATCTTCAGTCATCACCCAGTATAAATGTTTCATTTGTTGGACACGAAAGTAATACATAGTTAACTTGAGTAATGCATAACCATACTATATTTAAACTATAAGCTGACATTTTACCAAAATAATTCCCTAAAAAAACGCAAAGTAACTTTGTACTAATTTCCACAACATGTGCATAAGTTAAATTTTGTTTCTTGTTGACCTTGAATATTTAGAAAAAGAACCAGTTTTATTGCTTGTAGATTGAGCATTTAATCATATTTCTGTGTGTTGATCTATAAATTTCTGAACAATATTTTTATTTCCAGTTGGTATTCATCATGGACTAACATCAATTAGTGCTCATTGATGTCTGGCTTTGAGAGGTAATTCCTGGTGTCCAAATAGGAAGTCGTAACCGGCGGGATGAATCTCGTTAATGTGAGGAAAAAATATTCAACGATGATATTAGATGATGGTCGCGTTAAGTCGTGAACTGGCAGAAGTATTAGATATGAAGCATTGGATTCTCACCCAATGACTAAATAGTAACTTGCTAGCCGCGCAACCTGAAGGTTCTGGGTTCGATCCATGGCTGGTGGTGTCATAGGTGCGCACTGCTGAGAACTTCCATACTACGACAAAACAGCTATCCAGCGCTCTCAGGTTGCCAATGTTCCTCCAAATGATATCAGTTCACGGTGAATAACAGCTTGTAATCGATAACTCCCCACAAACCCCCAAATTGAATATTAGGAAGTGTTTATGTGGACATTTTTTGATCGATTTATGAAGTAAATCTGTTTTGTGTCAATATGTATCCTTCACAGCTAATGAAATCAATCTATCTTCTCACTAATCTAAGTGAAGTGATACTTCACATAGCATTGAATTTCAATATATTGTCCCAATGAGCATTAATTCTAACTCTACAAATGACACTGAAGTTTACTGGTCATTTGAGAAGGTTATAAAGTCAATGGAAGATTGCAGTGTTGAATTTACACTGATTGGTCAATGGACAACAACCAATTTCATGTTATCGATTTCTGGGTGCTGATTGAATTCCATCGATCATTTTACAATGTGATCAAGAATCTATGAAACTGGTCATTGCCACGTACTATGTTAGATATTGGTTGGTTAGAGATAATTGGTGGGACGCCTTGAAGGCTTTGATAGCATAAGATATCTGCAGAGTTATCTGCCAATCCAGTCATTCGGTTTAATGCCTAAACAGTTCAGTGATAGCCTGGAGAATGTATTTCATGTAAGACGTTAGAAGAAATGTCAATTTTGAACATTTTAAAAAATAACTCTTTGAATAATCATGGTATGATTCGAAAACTCATATGGCCCCTAACGACGGATATTGACTGTCTTTCATCAACATTCAACAAATTCCCAGTCGATTTCCAAACCAGACTAATTAATGGTGAAGACAAAATGGACGTGGATTGGGGTCAAAAGACCGAAGACAAGAACAAAAGAAAATACATCTGATATATGCAGATAATTCACTGTTTACGATAAATTTTTGATTGGTTGACCCACCGTCTGTCTATCTGGCTAAATGTGCATGTGATAACAAAAAGTACCTTTCCATTGGTCCTCCCCCTCCCTGGACTGGTCTTTCCTCTCTATCACCAAATCAGCTCCCTCTTCGAAAGAGTGTTATCTGAGGTCAGACTAGGCCGCACTGTCTTTTCCTTGCATCTGCCTGACCGACGCAGATGTAATTTCTCCTTGTCTACTGGAGGATCAGTAGTCTTCTCAATATTCTTTCGGTTGGCAGGTACATGAGCATGAAGATCAGCTAACAAGCCTGCCGATTGAGAATGTTATCTGCGGTGGTGTCTGTACACGTGGTTTTGTGTTTTGGCAGCAAAAACCGTCCTTACGGTCCCCAGCGTTGTAGACCCGGTATCGATGTTGTTTAGGCGGACAAGATATGATGAAATGCCAGGCACCACAATGCCAGCAAGACGATGGAGACGTCTTCTTCAAGGGTTGGTTGATATCGCATGAGTTACTGGACCGGTGAAGAGGCGAGATACGGCCATGGTGTGTGGCCAGAGGGTGATGAGGAGGAATGAGATGCCTGGCCAATTGTATGTACTTCAGAACCACTCTGGCATCGGGATTGAGCTAAACTCGTATCACGCTGCAGGTTACCAAGTCGACGATACTCTTCAGACATGTCATTCAGTGGAGTCGAAAGTGCAGTCAAGTGGATTCTGTGGCGAAATCATGTTGCAGTATAGGTCTAGCTAAGGTGGACCAAGCTTTTGAAGTAGGAGACATAGCCTCTAGGTCAGCAAAATCCGCTTTGAAGAGTCTTCGTAACGTCTGAATCAACAGTTGAAATCTTCATTGGTATGGGGATCGTAATGAAACTCAGTGATGGTATTGGTGATGCTACTAACTGAATAAGGTATTAAAACTGATGTGATCGGCAATGATTCAGTACTTGAAATTTCGGATTGAGTAAGTATCTCCATAATCCGTATTCTTTGTGTCGAGGAGATTGTTCAACTTCGAAGAATTCGCTTCCCAATATCCCATTTCCATCGCCCTTGTTATGTTTTGGCGATAGCTATAGCCGCTGACGATGCGTGGATATCGACAATCAGCCACCAGTACTCAACAAATTCTCACTTGATTTCCAAATCGGACTAATTAATGGAGAGGATACTATGGACGTGTAGAAACGTGTATTGGGATCGAAAAACCGAAAACAAGAACAAAGGAAAATGTATCTGATATTCATAAGTAGTTCGCCGTTTGAATGACTGATCCATCTTCTCTCTATCTAATTTTACACATTATAACATAAAGTAGATTTTGATTGATCCCTCTCCTGACTGGTCATTCCTCTCTATTAATACTGGGTGATGATTTAAGGTGAAATGAAAATTTGAACCATAGAGTGATTCGCACCTGCGGCCACCGAGTTTTCTGGTACCAGTTCTCTACCAACTGAGCTGCGAGGTCATCATTTGGACCTCAGCGGAATTTTCTCTCTATTCCCATATCAAATCATTGAGAATATTTGCGATTTTATTTAATGCCTTGGTTTTCATAGTACGGAATATTCTAGAGGAAAAACCTTGCTGAGAAGGATGAAACAAAAATAAGGCAAGATACAATACTAATACCATTCAGTCGTATTAGATGGAAAATATCTCGCTTTTAGTTGACTTTATGCACTAATGAAACTTTTGATTTCATTAGTGTTCATATGGTCAATATGATGGTTTTGTACACCATTGGGACGTATGTTTACATGCTTTCTTGAGTATTACCTGTGACATTAGTAATTGAGAGCCATGGTAAGAATATAAAAGTTAAGTATGTATAATCTACTTTAACTCCTAGGCTTTTAGTGATCCCAGGCTAAAATAACAATAATGATGAGAATATTCATCGTTCTTAGCATGTATTATTTATGTGGTATGGAATTAACAAGGTGCAGTTGGAAGTTGACTTTAAACTGTAGTGTAATTGGTCACATTCCCTCTTCACCTACCAAGGTTTAGGCAGTCGAGTAGTAGACTTAACACAATAGGTGTGACTCATTGCCTACTTCTCAAATGTGAACAACTGGTCATCATCCATAGCCAACAGTTCTCTCCGAAGAGCATTTCTCAAAATTTCTCAGTTAACATGTATCTAGAGACTGATAGGTTGAGGAAGCTTTGTACATTAGGTTTCATTTCAGTTAACTTCTTTTTTTTTTCAACAATAGCGCAGATGTACACACTCACTCCCTGGCTTCTTCAGGTTCTATGTTGGCTTATCTATCTACACAATGTGGTGACTACAAGTTATTGTTACATTTCGTGTATTTATCTAACTCAATACTTTACTTTCTACCTTCTAGGAGGATTATTACAAAATGGACAAATTAATGAATACATTTCAAGCAAGATTTTTTACTGTATGGGAAAAGCTTAAACTTTCTAAAAATAATAGACAACACTGTCTAATACACTTTTCTTTGAAAAATTCTAGTGAATTTATTTATATACAGACTATTAATAAAGCATTGAAATTATTAGAACAAGCAGCAGAATATATTGAAAATCGTGAAATGTTATTGTTTAAGTTAGCGAAAATTGACATTGAATATTTAAATCTATCAAAATATACACGTTCAAGTAAGTGGGTGTAAGCCTTTCAAGAAAATTATTGAATGTTTAAAAATTGTCATTCATTAAATAACGGTGGCTAGTAAGTAGGATGCATCATTTTGGTGTACCTATTCTGGTTTCTTTCAAAAAAATGACTAATTCATGACTTATATTACTTAAAATCTCAAAATATTATCCATTTGACTATTTTGTCAAAGTGTATGGCATTTCAGTAACCGGTGATGGATTTAACAAAGCAACTGACGAATCTCTGAAGAGACGAAACTTGCATCATCGATTCTGCCACTAGCTGTTGGTGGATAAAATAAAATTTGCTCAACGAGATTATATCAAAGCATTCCCTCAAAATGCCTATATAAGGAAATACATTTTGTAAATTCAACCAGAGAATGAACAACTAACTATTACTCTTTATAACCAGTAATCGCTAGATGTTTATACAGGGTGATGACTGAAGGTGAACTGAAGATTTGGACTGTACCCAATGCTCTGCCAACCAAGCATTGGGCTGGAAACCCGATGGTCGCTAGTTCGAATACGGCCACGATCCAAATTTTCATTTCATCTTAAATCATCACCCAGCATAAATACTGTAATTTTGCCAAACTAGGGCTATCTTAGATGGTCAAATGATAATCACTAGATGAGGAGAAACGTGAGAATGTAAGTATTTTAGCTTGCTTAGCTTCATTTTATGTGGGAATTGGATCCTTTCAACTTAATATTTACGAAGTATGAACAATCATCGATTGAGACATCTCTTTGAAGAACTAAGTACTACTAAAGCCTTCAAACTACCTTTTGCTTGTTTGTACTCATAGTATATTTCAGGAATTTCTTCTCTTAATCAGGTAATTTTTGCTGAACTACTGGCGTTTTCTAGAGAATACCAGTAACCAGTGCTGAGATTAGGCCCGAAATTCCAATAAAGAGCAGAGAGAGGGGAAAGTAAACAACCCGAGTGATTGTCTAAAGGCAACCTTAGCAACAAGTGAAATGACCAATCGGAACTCTTTATTTTATGAAAAGTCCGACTTTTCCGCTGAAATAGAGAAATCTAATTGGTTATTTTTTCAATTACTAGGGTGGTCTTTAAAAAACCACTCAAATAAGCCATCCATATAACAAGATTGAATTGGATGAAGTGACTGAGATCAGTGATGAACGTGCCATGTCGCCGTCTATACTGCCAAATAATGTTAACTAAAGTATGATTTCCTGACAATGGGATCTCATGACTAAGATAGATAACTCTTAAGCAGTAAAACAGTAAATGTAATACAGTAACCAACAGCTGCTAAATTTTTACATGAGGTAAATATGTTAGTTAGATGGGGGGAAATCACCAGACCTAGGTTACGTGCTTGTTGGCATTTATCAACAAGGTGTATCTACAACCTTAGGGGATTCGAACCTGCGCCACCCATTGCTGAAGTCAGAGACGTTACCGCTGAGCTATTCACTGCGCGACCGACCTCATGTAGGACTGGTTTAGCCACATTGATTAGTTACTGTAGAGCAACACAGTTCATGTTGTCTAGTCCTAAGTGCTGGTCAGATTTTGTCGATCATTTTGTAATGTGACCACCAGATCAGGAGACTCACTATCGCGATGCACTGAGATACATATTATTTGGATAGGGATAATCGGTAGAAAGCCCTGCTTGACCTAGATTTCATGCTTTTTGGCACTCGTCAGAAAGGTGTTACAAGCTAAATACGGTGATAATCTTGATGAATTCTTTGATACCCTTTTTTTAATCTTTTTGATTATGTGAGATGAAATATCTTATCTAGTTATTATTTTTTGTACGATACTTTGTAATGATCTGTCTGTTTATTTGTTTGTCTGTCTGCCTCACTGCTTGTCTACCCGTCTATCTAACATTTTACCAGAGAGAAATATGCAAACCAGTAGACTTTAGTTCAATGTCCAATATGAGTTGTACATAGTCGTAAATTGTCTGGATATTTCATTACTGACATAAACAATTGAGACTCTAACCTCTTACCCTTCGCTTCAAACGCCAAGGCGTTGTCAATTAGACCACGGAGGCACAATAGCCAACAGTATCACTCACTGGGGTGCTGGCACACCCAGCTGATGAGTCCTAACTAAGATGAATCGCACGTCTTAGATTTCTCCGCTAACCAAAACAAAATAAATTAGCTTAATTAACATTGAGGTAATATCGATGCATTTGCATAGACCCCCATATGCGAATAGAGGTCGAACAATTCAATCCGGTATAACAACGGAAAATTACAAGCATATCCATAAATAGTAATTGTTCAAATAATTGTATGTTAATTAAAATTAACATTTCATTATGCATAACTATATCTTATTATAAATAAAGCTTCACTATTTTAGACACTAATCTCTCGGAATTAACGTGTTCAAACGAACGTTCTAAAATAGAAAAGGTAAGTAATTTTATGTGTTATTAATAAAGGAGTAAAACTTGGGCACTGTGGTCGATTGTAATTCTTGTAGGTTAAAAGATCCTATCGATGCAATTCAGTAAAATAATCTAGTTTACCAAATCCCTTGTAATGATTGCGAGGTGAAATACTTAGGTTAAAGTAGCCAACCAGGGTTGATTAGAATAACAGAGCACAAAAACTTAGCTAAATCAAGATTAGTAGATCCTAATAAGATAAGAAATCTAGAGGAAAGCTCGGCTATAGCTCTGCACGCAATAACGTACAATCACGCAGTAGGGTGGGATAGAGTGATAGTGTTGAAAAGTAACTTAGTTGGATGGAGGGAGAGATTGATAACCGAATCTCTGTTGATCGAATCAACACCAAATACATGCAGTAATAGGAATGATTCTGCACCTGTCCCAGATATATGGAAAATTCTACTACCCTTTTCATTACAGAGGAGAGAAAATTAGGAATAAATAAACTCTATCTCGAAGTTGTAGAGTTACCTGATATGAATATGAACGATTAATTGTGTCAGAAATGTTATCCAGAATATGATACTGTTTCATTGTGTGATATTTCTAACAAACAGACTAAAATGAAATTCCATGTTTTACCAATCTAGATTAATCATTTATTTTTACTGAATATACTATAGTTTATTTTTGCTTAAAAAATTGTCTTTTCTAGGTTATTTCTTAAACTTTTTGACTGACATCAGCTGGGGAACCATTAAGAGCCTGACAACCTTGAACAACTATTTATTCTTAGTAAAGAACTCTTCAGCTTTATTCACTCATGATCCGCCAGCGATTGAGCCGAGAACTGTTAAGTCTCTTGGCGATGAAGTTACCATCCGGTCACACTTTTTCCACTTCTGTCGATTTGTGATTGAGCATAACCATCATCCAACCCCATTGTTGAGTAACTATTCTCAGGTCTGAGTTGAGTTTTGACCCGGTGGATCATCGACGTGGAACTTGAAGGTCATGGGTGCGCACTATTGAAGAGGTCCATGCTAGGTCGAAACACCTCTGCAATCGTTTCAGTGTTTCGTCTTAATTGACAATAGTTTTTGATGAATATCAACATAAAATCAGCGAATCCCCAAATATATTTTCTTTTGTACCCCTGATATTTATGCTAGAATCAAGTGCCTACAGGTTGTTGGCTGTTTTTTATAGATTTAGCCAAAAGTTTTTGTAAAAGTAGAAGTTAGTGCGTACTTTAAATCAACCTTAACTAATCTTCTTTTAATTTAAAAGAGTTATTAGTACATATAAACTGACTTTTCACCCTAATTAGTTATAGTCTGTTTGAATAGAACACTTCAAAATAGTACTAATTCGAAATATTTGTCCAAGAAGTTTGAGTATCCTCAAAAGAAAGCCTCACAGTAATGTCATACTAAGTTTCGGGAAAACTACTTACCTTTTATGCAGTGAAAATCGATAAATAAGTATATAATTAATGATTAAACTATTATTATTTTTTTCCTTGGGTTCCTAGTGGAACATAGGGCTTCAGTAGCACGTCTCCAGTGCAGTCTCTTCCCTGCACCTGGCCCAGAAGCTTTCGTTTCTTCGTCACACCATCTCCTCCATGTCACCCTCGCTCAGACGCCCAACTCGTCATTTCCCCATTTGGATTCCACTCGACGGCCTGGAGCATGATGTTCCCAGTCGGCCATCTCAGTGTATGTCCAACTCATCTCCACTTTCTTCCGCATATTTGTTGAGTGATAGGGTCTTGGTTCGTTGCCAGCCAGAGTTCCTAGTTGCTTATTCTTATTATTCTGGCCATCTGGTCTTCAGTATCGAGTGAGCGTAGGCGGCAGTTGTTGATGAATTTCTGCAGTTTGTTGAAAATCCTTTTCGTAACGCGCCAAGTTTCTCAACGATATAGTAGCACTGACTTTATATTGGTGTTGAAAATCCGGATTTCGTTCTTTGTGCTGAGTGCAGTAGATCCACACTGATTTCAGATTAGTGAAAGCCTGTCTTGCTTTTCCGTTCCTGGTTAATTGAACTATAAGCTCCAAGAATTTATTTAAGGAGTTTGGTGTTTTTTTAATGGTTATCTTGTTTCATGTCAACTGAATATCCTCAAAGTTGACTTCATTTGATATATGATCATTTTATGTTTGAGGCGTAAACTTAATTTTATGTACAAATTAAACAATTATACTGTCGATATGGTTATTTTTGAAGGAGAAAGAAGGCTGTTACTATTTATTGACATACTTGTTATTCTCCGTTGTTTTGTTGGATCGAATTATTCGACCTCGACTAGATCCAACAAAACAATGGAGAATCACAAGTATGTCAATAAATAGTAATAACTACTACCCGTTGTACAAGAAGTGGCTGTCGTTCCTCCGTGGCATAGTGGGTAGCTCCTCGGCGTTTGAAGCGATGGGTACGAGGTTAGAGTCATAGTGGGAATAACACCACTCACTGAGGTGCAGGTACATCCAGCAGACGAGTCCTAAATAGGGCGAAACGCGCGTCATGGATTCTTCTACTAGCCACAACCAATCAAATTACCAAAAAAACGTTGTTGAGAATGAATTAACTTTACTAAAAGGTTAAATTTTTATATCATTTTATTCTTTATTTTACAGAGTATTAAACAGTTAGAGAAACTGATTGAATCGACCGCTAAACGTTTGAAAACAGAATTCAATTATACACTAACCTTTGATGTATGTTTCTTCATCAAAACTACTTATATTACTAACAGTAGTATCCTAATATATGAACAAATGCAAGAAGGAAGACGTTTGGAGAATAAAATGAGCTGATTTTATTTCACAGTCTTTCATCAGCTGTAACCAGTCTTCAGGTGAAATGAATTATTGGTAGTAATAATGACATAACATACTTTAAATGTGTAGAAATCTAGGATTAACATGAAGGTTGGTAGTCAAGGAAACACAAGATTAGTAATTACAAATCTAATCAAATTCAATGTCAATTCCCATCTGATGAGATAGAAAGTTCTAGAGCCGTATGAAGGGTGTAAAAGAGCAAATAGATTACGTAATTATATAGAAAACTGGGAAATCGTTAAGTGGTTAACAGACAGTAAGTTATTCATGAAGAGATGATGCAATCAAAAGAAAAGGGACGACTATATGCAAATGCGTGCGAAAACTTATACAGTTACCGAGGTAAAGAAAGGTTAATTATAGTCTCTTTGTGAGTACATATGTCAGGTTGAAAATGTTTGATGATGAGAGCTTCCAAAAACCACAACAAACATGGTATCCTTTGTTTGTCGATTGTCCTGAAGGATTGAGGAACATCTGTTTGAGGTCTTGTTTTCACCAGGTGCCTGACGATTACCTTGTTAAAGACTTTACTACCATTCAGATACAGATTTCTTGGAACATGCTCATGAAATCGAGTAGACGCACTTCTTCTGGTCCACCTTGTATACTTGCTTCCACAAGCACAGGTGCATTGATACACACAATTGGAGGTGATGTGAGATGAGTATTTGTCTACTTTCGACTGTGTTATTGAGTTAAGTGTAGTGTAAACTGAGATCAATCTGGCATCAGGGAAGCTCCTTCTCAGTGGAGCTTTCATTCTCCTGTTTATTCTTTCCGATATCTCATCACCTTTGAATGGTAGACGAAGGAAAGCAGTCTTTTTCTCAACAGTTGAATGTTTTTGTCTTTCGCTAACTTCTTTTCTGTGCTTGGTGATGAATTTCTTGGGATATGCATTCAGTATAACAGCCTTCTCAATTACACCGAATTTTTCTTTTTCTTGTTTATCTTTTGAGCACAGCGTTTTTATTCTAGTGATTAGCGTCCTGAATATATATATATATATATATATATATATATATATATATATATATATATATATATATATATATTCTGTACACATATGATTGATATTAGAGCGAAGTTTATTACTATCGTGAAACTGGGCAAAAGTATGCAAGCTGATACTTGATGTAATTATGATATTGGTTGTGTTGGAACCAGTTACCGTTGCTCTCTATTTCTTGCCTTTATTTATCTGAATCTGTTATCGTTAATGTAATATGTTTGCGAAAATATTTACGATAATGTCATTAGTGATTTTTAAAACGATGTGTATGACTACTGACTATGTAAATTAGTAGACAGCATGTGTACAAAATTTCTTCTATCATCTAAGTAAGTTTAGGTATAGGTATTCAGTTTGATCGGAAAAAGTAAGATAGGATAAACGGAGAAAATTACTTATCTATCAAATTAAATGGTTAAGAAGTGAAGATATTGGTAAAGATGATAATAGACTAAGAACTTCTCAAGAATTCACACAATCATCAGATACTTGAGATGGATGTCAACAAGAGGAAAATTAGGTTTTTTTTGCTTTCCGTATCTCACAGACTGAAAATCAAATGAAAGGAATAAGCATGTTTTAAAATAATCTGCAAACTGAAGTGTAGGCAAGTGCTGGAAGAAAGAATTTACACAGCCAGAAGAACTCATCGTGAAGTTATGTTTCACACTTGATATCATTTCTCCTCCTTCGTTTTTTTCAAGCAACTTTTGAGATGATTTGCTGGGTGTTTTTTCTTTGCAAAATGTTTCTTAGGAAAATAGTTTGAACGAATGTATTGTAGTCAATTTAAAGACTAGCAGGAGATTAGAGTACACGCAGTCCGTCTTATTTGTAGATGCGCTAGCTGATTTTACCTGCACTCCATTGAGTGATGGTATTCTCGCTAAGATTTGAACCCCGTATTCATCGCTTTAAACCGCAAAGCGTTACCCACTAGGCCATTGACACAAGACAGTCACATCTTGTGCAGCGGCTATCAGCTATTGTTTATTGATGCTAGTAATTTCCTGCTGCAATACTGGGTGGGATTGCTCAATAAGTGTTGGCAAATCAGCTAATAGGCGCAAAACTTAAAAAAAATAGTTTTCACCAAATTCATTAGACAATGCTTCACATACCATTTTTACTTTCTACTCCAATTAGCTTACATTTTTTCAGAAGCTGATAGTAAGTACATGAATCGGAAGTTAATTGACTTTCAAAAGTATATGAATGAATGAAGCTTTTGTGTATATATTATCTTCATGTAATTGTGTCAACATCATTTATGATTCTCATATTGTTATCAGTGCTAGTTATAAGAATGCATATAAGTAGTGTATGTTGAGAGGTTGGAAGAAGTCATAGGCATTTACGAGTGATGGATAAATATTCTTCCCAAAGAAGCGTGAAAGATGACGTGACCATATCAATAGCAAGAAGAGATAGAAGAAGGTGATGATGATGAACTTATTAATATTTCAGTGGAAGGTTATGATGTTTTTTTTCCAGTTGACTTCATTGCAGCTATTGCTGTACCCATCAGCTTTTCGGTCATCTTCATCAGCTTACCAATAACCATGGGTTGAGCTGCGTTCACTAGTTGTAGCTGCTTGAGAACGGCACTCAAGACACTTTCGCTAAATTGTACAGCCAGTAACTATACCTGCGAGTCCTCATCCAGAGAAGAAAGTGCTCGACCAAGTAGATTTATCAACTTCACATCCAATCTTCGTCCGTTCCAAGTTTTGTGCACCGGAACTGCTGTATCTCCAGCTCCCTGTCCACTGGGCTGGGAAACTCCACCTTCAGTCCTTCAACCACTCTCTCCCAACTCTCCTTCCCATCCACGTGTTGCATGTCGTCATACGCAGCTTTCGCTGGACTTCTCAACAACGTGCCAAACACCAAGACCTTCACTTCTGAATCCTGGACACTCATCAACTCCGTAACCGGTTTGAAATTCCTGAGCAAGACCTTGATGTCTCCATCCTCAAACACTTCAGGCCACAGAATCTTAACCACGTCTAAAAGCGGTGACACCAGTTAACGAGAAAGAGTGGAGGGTGAATCGTAGAAGGAGTGTTTATTCTGACAGTTTGTAAATTACTGATAAAATATCATAACACTCCATTGAAGTATCAGTTTGCACAATATACTTAAGTTCATCATCATCTCCTATCTCTTCTTGCTATTGATATGGTCACGTCATCTTTCACGTTTCTTTGGGAAGAATATTTATCCATCACTCTTAATTGCCTATGACTTCTTCTGACCTCTCAACATACACTACTTATATGCATTCTTATCAGTAGCATACACTAAGTAAGATACGCAGAGTTAAACTCAGAAATTATGGTGACCAAAAAAATTTTCAATCGGTGAAAGTTATGCTCAAGAAACGTGATATTATTATCTATATATTAGAATCGAATGCCAGATAAAATATGACGTAATTTATATGAGAGTGATATTACTGAATTTTTTATGTACTTATTAATATTAGCATAAAACAATAACATTTTCGCTAAAACCTAATTTCTTTTTTCATTTTTTATTCAACAGGGTCAAATTTATCTGGCAAAGATGATTCATGACCGAAGTGATTTAATCTATTTGCTTCAGGGAAAGTTAAAAGAAAAAGTGGAAAACGATAATAAGAATTAGAATTTATCTGTTTAAATATAATTTTATGAATTTTTAAGAGCATTTCAATTTTGATTTATTAGTGTATTTTCTTGACTTAAAGAGACATCTAATGTTCACAAGGATTGCAACATTTTACATACTTGGTTGTATTGTGTTTTCTGAGATGGGTTGTTGAAATCATACAGCTTTCATCGTCTTTCTAGACGACATCATCAGCACTAACTTCAATATGAAGTAAGCTGTCAATATCTGTCCATCTGTGATTCAGTAGCTTACCGTGAACAAATAGTTTGTGTTTGATTCTTTCCTTTGATCTTTGTATCATCGACTGTATAGATTTTCTTGCTGGCTACTCCTCTGCTTGATTTCTGAAATTTTTATTATTTATCAATTTCATCGTATTGGTTGATAGAATGGGTCTATGTCTATACACCTATTGATTACTGACTGACCTGAATGCTGAGCTTCTAATAATTCTCTGATATTCTTTGTGCTTCCTCTCTGCATCACAGATTTCTACATTGTCGAAATGGAATTCATGTCGACAATTATCCGCATGCATTGGAATGAGTGATGAAATGTCGTGGGGCTCAATAGCCAATTGGTGTTTATGTAAATGAAGGTGAATAGGGCTACCACTTTGTCCAATGTAGTGTTGACCACAGTTATTGTAGTTGATTTTGTAGATGATATTCGGTTTGTCTTCTTTGGTTGTTGCATCCTGTGGCCTGCATAGTAGTGTTTGGAGAGGATTTGTTGATTTATGAGTCACACGAATTCGAAGTGGTTTCGGCAATCTTGTCTTGGTCTGTGATGCATTTTTTGTGTGTGATAGGATGATGGGTTTGTTGATTTGTGTCGATGACTTTGTAGTTGATGATGTACGGAATGGATAGGCACCTACTGATAATGTATTGTGGGTAGCTGTGCTTGTTTAGAATAGACGTCAAATAATTTTCTTGGTTTCTCAGTGAAGTTGTTGTAGTGGAGTGTGTTCTCGTTCTTTTGAATAGAGTTTTCATGCAATTAATTTTGTGCGTTATTGCTACTGTAATGTGTGTGTTGGCTTCCTTTTCAATTAGGTTTCCGGCTTGCATGCTTACCAAAAATTTACGAAAATATACATACTCAAACCTGTGAGCTCCAGATTGATTAGAAAATGTTTTTCTAGGAATGTTTAGAAAATTTCAAGGTTTCTGAAAACAAACGCAAACACTTTTACGTTTTGTATATATTTGACTTGACATTAAGCCGAAGTCCTGAGCACCATAAAGCCAATGAAATACGGGAAAGCAGCACGGCCAGATGGAATCCCGCCAGAAGCACTGAGAGAAGATGCGCAGACAACAGCGGACATGTTCACACCACTATTGCCGAAGGTTTGGGAGGAAGGAAGGGAAGGTACCTGCCTATTGACTGAAAGAAGGGCTACCTTGTCAA